GGAAAATGAGCAAAGACAATCAAAAGAGGTGAAGTTATTAAAAGAAATAATTCAAGGGCCACCTGGGTGGCTCAGTCGGTTAAGCAACTGCCTTCGGCTCAGGTCATGATCTCAGGGTCCTTGGATGGAGCCCCACATCGGGCTCCCTGCTCAGCAGGGGAGTCTGCTTCTCTCTCTCCCTCTGCCCCTGCTTATGTTTTCTCTCTCGCTCGCTCTCTCAATTAAATAAATAATTTTTTTTTAAAAAAGAAAGAATTCAAGAACCAGAGGAAGAAAATACAGAAAACAGAGCACTCCTACAACACCCAGACAGGTAACTCGGTGAGAAAACCATGCCTACTACCTTGCAGCTGAAGTTCTTTCTGGAGAGATACCACCAGTAACCTGTGGTTGGCACTTGATGAATTTTTTTAAAATAATTTTTTAGAGCAGTTTGGGGTTTACAACAGAATTTAGAAAGAGGTGCAGAGACTTCCCATATACCCCTTGTCTCCATACATTCATAGCCTTCCCCATTATCAAAATCACTCACTGGAATGAGGAAATTTTTTTTTGCTGAGAATAAACCTACACTGACACATCACAGTCATATGAAGTCTGTAGTTTACCTTAGAATTAACCCTTGGTGTATATTTTATGGGTTTGGACAAATGCATAATGGCATATATCCATTATAATAATATAATGCAGAGTATTTTCAGTGCCCTTAAAATCATCTGTGCTCTTCCTTTTCATTTCTCCCCGCCTCCACCTCTGGCAACCACTCTTCTTTTCATAATGTTGCCTTTTCCAGAATGTCATATGGTTGGAATTACACAGTATGAAGCCTTTTCACATTGGCTTCTTTCACTTAGTAATATGCACCATATCTTTCTATGGCTTGAAAGCTCATTTCTTTTTAGTGCTGAATAATATTCCATTGTCTGGGATGGACCATTTGAGCTATCCATTCACCTACGTAAGGACATCTTGGTTGCTTCAAAGTTTGGGCAATTATGAATAAACCTGCTATAAACATTCATATGCAGGTTTTTGTGTAGATATGTTTTCACCTCCTTTGGGTTGCTCAGTGGGTTAAGCGGCTGCCTTCTGCTCAGGTCATGATCTCAGGGTCCTGGGATCGAGCCCCGCACCAGGCTCCCTACTCAGCGGGGAGCCTGCTCCCTCTGCCTGCTGCTTCCTCTGCTGTGCTCTCTCTCTGTCAAAAAAAAAAAAAATTAAAAATAAATATCATAAATACCATTTCAGAATCTATTTTACTTAAGTATTACATCTTTCATTTTTGCCTAATCTTTTCAATCATAACTTTAAATATTGCATTGTGTTCCATCAAAGATACTATGCCAGTATCTTAATTATCTCAATTATTACATAATTATTGCTTCCCCAGTACAGAATTAAAGTTTACAGTACCCAGAGCGCCTGGGTGGCTCAGTTGGTTAAGCATCTGCCTTCGGCTCAGGTCATGATCCCAGAGTTCTGGGATCCAGCCCCACGTCCAGCTTCCTGCTCAGTGGGGAGCCTGCTTCCCTCTGCCTCTCCCTCTGCCTGCCGCTTCCCCTTCTTGCGCTGTCTCTCCCTCTCTCTCTGTCAAATAAATTAATAAAATATTAAAAAAAAATAAGACTCTCTCTCCTTTCCCTCTACCCCTCCCCCGCCGTGCACTCTCTCTAGAAATAAATAAATAATCTTTAAAAAAATTCGTATGTTGAAACCCCAATCCTTAATGCGGTGGTATTAGGAGGAGTTGTCTTTGGGAGATAAATAAGTCATGAGGGTGCAGCCCTCATGATGGAATTAGCACCTTTGTAAGAGACACAATGAGAAGGCAGCCATCTGCAAGCCAGGAAGAGAGCCCTCACCAAGAATCGAATCTGCAGGCACCTTGATCTTGAGATATTTTGTACCATTTTTCTTGCTTTTCAGTTGTGTTTTCAACATCATTCCTTGTCTACAGCCCTGTCTCTTGAATTCTCTTCATAATGTGCTATATTTTTGTGGATTCCCATTTTTAATTTTTTTTTAACATTTTATTTATTTGAGAGAGAGAATGAGAGATAGAGAGCATGAGAGGGGGGAGGGTCAGAGGGAGAAGCAGGCTCCTCGCTGAGCAGGGAGCCCAATGCGGGACTCGATCCCAGGACTCCAGGATCATGACCTGAGCTGAAGGCAGTTGCTTAACCAACTGAGCCACTCAGGCGCCCTCCCATTTTTAATTTTTTCAACCACCTTTTACAATTTATTTTTACGTTCCCTCATTTCTCATTTTGTCTTCATGATTTATGGTACAAATTTCATTTCTAATCTTTGTGCCTTTTATTTATTTATTTTTTCTTTGTGCCTTTTAAAAGAGGGGCGCCTGGGTGGCTCAGTCGGTTGTGTCTGACTCTTGATCTCAGGGTCATGAGTTCAAGCCTGGTGTTAGGTTCCATGCTGAGCATGGAGCCCACTTAAAGAAAATAAAAATAAAAATAACAGAAATTTATTTCTCCTAATTCTGGAGACCTGAAGTTCAAGATCAAGGTTTCTTGATATTTGATAATCTCATTTCTTGTTTTCTGTGTTCTTTTAACCTGCTCTCTCCTTTGTCACCACCCTTCTGTCCTATTTCCCTTTCATTGCATATAAATCAGATCCTCTCACCTCATACTGGTGGCCAACTCTGTGTACCAGGTGAGTCCTCACCGCACTCCCCCTTTATGCCTCCTTGCCATTAGAACTCTGCTCCTCCCCCACTCTATGATTTTTTTTTTTTTTTTATACCTTCTGATTATACTAGAAATGCACTTGGGGACTTATTCCCTTCTGGTGTGCTGAGATGCCATGCCGTGGTGCTCCTTGCATTTCTGATGTACTGAGCACAGGGACTTCTTCAATTGCTATCTCCATGATTTTTTTTTTTTTTTTATACCTTCTGATTATACTAGAAATGCACTTGGGGACTTATTCCCTTCTGGTGTGCTGAGATGCCATGCCGTGGTGCTCCTTGCATTTCTGATGTACTGAGCACAGGGACTTCTTCAATTGCTATCTCTGTGATTCATTTATTGTTCTGCTCATTTACCTCTCTTTCCTCACACAATAATTTAACAAACACCTATGGAACATCTTGAATGAGACAGCCAGACTCTGAGTTCAGAAACAGCTTTATTTTAAGGAGCTCAATTTATAGTGGAAGAAGCAGAAAAGTAAGCGGACCACTGATGGTTAGTGTCCGTCAGTGTACTTGACAATAAAAGGATCACAAGAAATCTTGTTTGATAAGTGAAGTTAATGATCCCTACCCCCCAGCACCACGGAGGATGAGACAATGATCACAATAGCCTTTGTCAACTTGTGAGGAACTCCCTGTTATGGGGTGGTTCTCCCTGGTGAGAGGCACCCCTATTATTTCTGAAGAAAGGTCATTCAAGGCCACCAAAGCTGAAATGGCCACAGGGTTTTGTCTAACAGAAAGTTGCCCCATCCCCTCTGGAAACCAGATCCCAATGTCACCTGCAGAAATGCAAATCCCTTTAGAACAAATCTTAATGGAGGGTGCCTGGGTGGCTCTGTTGGTTAAGTGTCTGACTCTTGATTTCAGCACAGGTCATGATCTCAGGGTTGTGAGATCCAGCCCCACGTCAGGCTCCACGCTGGGCATGGAGCCTGCTTAAGATTCTCTCCCTTTCCCTCTGCACTTCCCTCTCTCTCTCTCTCTAAAAAAACCAAAAAACCAGAAAGAAAGAAAAAAAAAAAAGAACACATGTTAATGGGTATGATGCCTCCTACTCCCACACCCTTATGCATTGCTGGTGACAACTTGTTGAACTTACCAGGACTGGAGAAGAAATTTTCCAGAAACACATGAACATGCCATCCAAAGCCACCTCAGAGAGCATGGGTTTTTTTGTTTGTTTTGGTTCTAAGAGAAAGAAAGAAAAGGTATTTCAAATAAAGTGCTATGAGGAGACAAATATCAAGAAAATGGATCTCTGCCCCAGTGAGGAGTCCAGTTTCTTGACGGACCTATGAAGGGAGTAAATTACAACCGTCTTGCTGAGCACATGGATCCTGGCACTGAGCCTCTAGCCCAGAGGGTTTACGTGGTGCTCCAGGGACAGCAAGATCCTGGGGGTTCACCCCTTTTTGTCCCTGTTTTCTTCTGAAGATGAATGGCTAAGGCTTAGAAATCATGGGTCTTGGGGAACACCGTGCATGGTGACTCCAGAGTTTGTTTGCATTCCTGGTTTTTCACATAACCACAAACCCTTATTTATTTATTTCCACAAATCCTTCTGTTTTTTACACTTAGACTCTTTCTTGAGTAGGGAAGAAAACTGTGGAATCCTAAAGTTCCCTGAGGCAGGCCGCTCCCCTGCCGCTGTCTGCTGGTGCCTGCTGCATTGCATCCCACGTTAGAGAAGGAAGTGCAGTTCAGGGAATCGAAGCGTCTTGCCCAAGTCAGAATTCCTGAACCAGGAATGGTTATTGTGGCCTTTTCAGAAAAAAAAAACAAGATGATGGTGAAGCATCATCGTGCTTGGAAAAGTGGAAGAAATAGGGCTGGAGCTGTGTACCCCTAGGGTCTTGCTTTTTTCTGTCTTCAGAGCCCAGCCTAGGGCTGGGACACATATCCTACGCCTCCTGTAATCTCCCACAACAATTTTAAGGCACAAAGTAAGAAAGCCAGGATGCTCTTTTCTCCTTGCTTCCCATTTTTGGGTCCCTTCCAGCCTCCTCCCTCCTAGGATGGGAAGCCCAGGCTGAGCCCGACCATCACCATCTCATCCCCCATCTCCCTAGCCCTCCGACCCCAGCCCCCTCTCCCTACTGAGGAATCCCGGGGCTTTGCCCTCCAGAGACTTTGCCCTTCACCCTATGGTGCACTTGCAGCTCCAGACTCGTACAAGCCGCGACCTGCTTCCCATGAACCTCTGCTCCCCTCGCCAGCAGGGGCGCGCGCTCCCGACCCAGGAGTCCTTGCGCGGCCCGGCAGAGCGGACACCCGGGACTCCAAGATGGCGTCAGTCGGTGAGTACCTGTACCCGGTTAAAGTTGCAAGGTTGAGGGCAGGACCGGTGGTTCGGAGATCGGGGCTCAGAGCTGCACTGGGAGGGGAGGGGGCTGCGGAGCCGCCTGCCCTTCGCTCAGGGCCTTCCCTATGGCCTCACTGGAGGCTCACCGAGCCCTTTGCCCAGGGCCCTGCACCGTTCGACCGTTCGCTCGCTCAGCGCGCAGCCCGCCTGCCCAAGGGCCCGGGTCTTTCGGCTGCAGTTGCGGGGGTGACGGCAGCGGGGGACGCGTCTGCGAGCTTGGGAATGCACCACCTCCGGCCACCCTTCCTCCTCGTTGAAGAATATTGACCCCGTTGCAGCCCAAGCGCTTTGCATTTGAACCCTAGGCGCAGCTTCTGCCCTTCTTTCCAAAGCTGAAGCTCACATTAAGCCCCAGGAGGAGCGAACGCCTAGGACGGTGCCTGATACCATGTCAGGTTGGACGCATATATGTGGAATACGCGTTGAATAGGTTAAGAGAGGTGACGTGACCCCTCAAGGTCACAACTAGTGAGAGGGCTGAGCAGGATGCAAACCTAGGTCGTGGTAAACTGAGCTTTAATCTCAAGGATGGCCTTATGATCTGCAGGCTTTTCAGTGACATGCGTGTATAAATCTACACTTCTTGGACTGTGCACACTGATTTTTTTTTTTTTAAGGTTCATTTATTTATTTGAGAGAGAGAGAGAGAGCATGAGAGGGGGCAGGGTCAGAGGGAAAAGCAGACTCCCTGCTGAACAGGGAGCCCGATGTGGGACTCGATCCAGGGACTCCAGGATCAGGACCTGAGCCGAAGGCAGTCCCTTAACCATCTGAGCCACCCAGGCGCCCTTGTGCACACTGATTTTTTTTATTTATTTATTTTTAGTACGGAAACCATGTTTTAGCCCTAGAGCCTCTCACATTAGCCTTGTTCTTAAGTCCCTCTCTGGAACGTTGATCCGATTTTAAAGATGAAAATAAGGGTCAGAGATGTGGTGTGGCCTGCCTGAGGCAGAGTTTTGATTAACCTATGTGTTTTACCCAGTTTCTATATTCTTTTTTTTTTTTTAAGATTTTATTTATTTGATGGAGAGGGACACAGCGAAAGAGGGAACACAAGCAGGGGAAGTGGGAGAGGGAGAAGCAGGCTTTCCGCAGAGCAGGGAGCCCGGTGCGGGGCTCGATCCCCGGACCCCGGGATCATGACCCCAGCCGAAGGCAGACGCTTAACGACTGAGCCACCCAGGCGCACCCCCAGTTTCTATATTCTTAATATCAGCCTGGAGAAATGAAGAGGGGATCAGAAAAGACGAGAATGATGCTGTTTTTCCCATCTGTAAAAAACAGGTATGATAATATTTATCAGTGGTGGTTGTATTGTTTAAACAAGAGGACATGTGAAAAGGAAGCATTGCGACTTGGCATCTTATTTAAATAGAGCAAAGTGATGAGCATTGTGGACTAAGGATTAAACAATTTAGTACGTGTAAGGTACTTGAAACACTGCCTGGCCTGCTGTTGAGTACTGGTCATCTCAGCTTCCACTCTGTGACCTTTGAGCAGGGTCATGCCACGTCTGGCCCATTCAGCATCACCCTCGGTGAAGGAGTTGAAGTCCAAGTCTTCTAAGTACTGACCATCTTTTAGCTGGTGTTTGTCGCCAGAGCATAAAGCCACTAGTTCATTAGCAAATAAAGTGATGGAAATATGAATTAACAGCAGTAGATGAGATCGGGTCAGCAAACTGTGGCCATTGGGCTAGATTTCCTGTGATCTGTTTTTGTATGGCCTGTGAGCTAAGAATGGTTTTTAAAAATTAAAAAAAAAAATGTGTTCTGAAATCTGGCCACTCTGTGGCCAGCCCTAGGCCGGATTTAGCACCCAGAAGACATTTAGCATTTTATGCCTCTCCGTATAGGTGGACAGTATGCTTCTTTGAAGTCATAAAATCAGGCCAGGGAGCCACCTACCCTCCAAAGAACATGTGGTCCTTTCTCAACCTTCACTGAAAGTCTGTTACGACCATGAACTGTATGTGGGGTTGCTCCCACCTTCACATAGCTCATAGGCAGAAAGATAATTTCCATTTACATAGTACCTACAGCCAATTACCAAGGTGGCTGCTGTTCTTTTTTTTTTTAAGATTTTTATTTATTTATTTGACAGCAGGAGAGCACAGGCAGGGGGAGCAGCAGAGGGAGAAGCAGGGAGCCCGATGAGGGGCTCGATCCCGGGACTTTGGGATCATGGCCTGAACCGAAAGCAGTCACTTAACCGACTGAGCCACCCAGGCGCCCTGGTGGCTACTGTTCTTAACCTTCTTTTACAAAGGAGGAAACTGAGGCACAGAAGGCAGGAACTTGTCCAAGGGTGCACAGCCACAAAGTGTCACTAAACCCAGAATACGGGACTCCCAAGTCTGCTGTGTTTATCACTGCCCTCTACCAGTGTGAGCCAGTGAATGCAGAGGGGTGTGCAGCACCGCAGGAAGTGCTGGGGGAGGGCTCCAGTTTGGCTGTCTAAGGACTGAAGTCTTTGTCTTCCATTACGAGAGACAGACAGTCTTGGAAAAAGTGTAGATGCATCTCTGATGAATCTGTTGATCTCTTGGAGTTTTATGGTGATGCTGTTTTTGGCTCTCCTTAGGCCTGATGTGAAATTTTTCCCCCGTCTTTATAAATTTCTTAGTTTTTGTTAAGGAAACCCTCTTTATAGGTCTAAATATATAGAAAAATGAATTTTAAATTGTTGGCTGTTTTCTTCTGTGATGTGCCAAGGTACCATGTCAGCCTCTGAATGTGGTCGTGAGAATGCAGAGTATGTTTTCATAATTTGTGGGATCAGAAGTGACCTGATTTTTATTTTTTTTTTGAGTTACCAGCCTTACACCAGTCCCAGATACTTCGACTTAAAATACTGTTTCTTTTGTACACCTCCCCCAACATAGTCCTATGGTTAAGAGCATTTTTAAACCTTTTATTATGGAAGATTTCGAAGATGAGGGAAACAATAATGTAATGAACACTTTAGACTCATTTCCCAGTGCCAACAGTTAGCAACATTCGGCCCTTCTAGTTCCATTTGTACATTAGTCATGCACTCCCCGCCATATTTAAAGCCAGTTGGTTTTAGCATGACATGTTTGCACTCCTCACTGCATGCAAGAAGGCTTCGAGGCTGTAGCAAAGGCGTTGACTATGTTCTTATTCAGGAATAGTTATTCCTGGACTGAGGCCTTCTGAACCAAGTGAAGACAAAACTGGTATGTAAAAATGTGTACTTGTTAAACTTTTCTAGGAATAGCATGGACAGGGTGACAGAAAGATACAGGTCATTCTCGAATGACATTATTGTGTGGTATTACTATCACTGACACTAAACTCTCCAGCAGAGATTTGGAACATAATCCCGAAATTCATTTGAGACTATCTCATATTCAAAAATATTACCAAACTAATCACCTCACAGTTTTCTGTTTGTAAAAGAACTAAAGGGTGCGAGTAATCCCTGAAGTCCTGTTCCTTAAAACGTCCTTAAGTTTGGTTTGTATGCCATTTCTTTCTCTACTTCTGTCTTTTTTCTTTGTTTCACATAGACCTTAATGACATTTCAGCAAGAATACATGTTAACGCTTCACAGTTCTGAGTACTGTTCCAAATGCTCTTACATAGATTCTCATTCAGTGCTTGGAATAAGCCATTTTACAGACAAGGAAACTGGAGCTCAGAGCTTATATAGAAAGCTAGTGCTAGTGCTTGAGATAAGATGGGCAGGGAATAACTTTTAGGGAATAACATTTATGTTGAGCTGGCCGAGTGTTGATGATCCAGGAGCACGGCACATACAAAGGCCCTCAGGTAAAGAAGCAGAAAGGGGTCTGGCGGAAGTACGGTGAGCCTGGTGAGATGAGTGGGTGAGCTGGTTGTCTGGCGATAGAAGGTTGGCTCCTGAGAGCAGGGCTGTCATTGCAGTCGGTGCTGTGTCCACGGTGTGTAGCACGCTGCCAGGCATACAACAGGTGCTCCGTGTTTGTTGGATTGAGTCTAGATGGAAGGTTCGGGCCAGTTTGTTTGGGACAGGCAGCCTAAACCATAACCCTCAAGCTATGTATGCAAGTCTTAGGCTTATGCCTCCACCTGTCACTTGTGGCTTTTTTTTTTTTTTTTAAGATTTTATTTATTTGACAGAGACACAGGGAGGGAGGGAACACAAGCAGGGGGAGTGGGAGAGGGAGAAGCAGGCTTCCCACGGAGCAGGGAGCCCCATGTGGGGCTCGATCCCAGGACCATGGGATCCTGACCCGAGCCGAAGGCAGACGCCTAACGACTGAGCCACCCAGGTGCCCCTCACTTGTAGCCTCTTGACAAACACTGAAACACTGGATCTGGTTCTTTCGGACCCGGTGTCTAGTTCTCCAGATGACCGTAGCAGATGAGAAGCTGCCATTAAACCTTGTATTTCTGTGTGGCCCAACAACCCTTGCCCTTGTTAAGTGTTGGGAGATGTCAGGAGATCTCTGGGATTCCCCTCAGTGGACTCTTGAGGCTGGTCCTTGCAAAGCCTTAGTCCTTTCCTTGGATCCCCAAAACGGAGAAGAAACCTTTCTTTGAGTGATTTGGTCTGGCTCCTTCTGTGGTTGGTAATCTTTAAGAAAGGACAGTAGCCTTTGACTCCTTGCCTTGAAGAGGATACCTGCCCAGCAGCTTTTTAAAGGTGATCTCTGTGGGGAGGATGAGAAAGGAGACCATTCTCTCCTTATGAGCATCTGAACATTCACAGTTCTACCCCGCTCTGGCCCTCCCTGGTCCCCTTCCTATTTTACTCTTAAGCTGAGATAATTACAATATGGCCTCAGCCTGGAGCCCTTCCTGTTCTGTCCCCAGACTCATTGGAATATTATCTGGGGCCCATTGGATCATTTGGAATGGTTTTTATTAAGTCATTTAACATTTGTGGCCCCAGGTAGGACGCTTGAGGTAAATATCAGATTGTCTTGAGGAGCATGGCAGCCAGACCTAAGGTTGAGCACTGCCCTACTGCCTGCATGCTGTGTGACCTTGGCCAAGTTGCCCAACTTCGCTGAGTCAGTCTCCCCCACTCCTCATAAAATAAAGGCATCAGCTACTTGCTGTGAAGATTAAATGAGCTAATACATGTAAATATGAGTTTTGCAATCATTTTTCTATTCTGTCCTCCACCTGATTACTTAATTCCTCACGGCCCTTAGGTTCTCTTTTTACATAGTTATTCCCAGTAAGCGGTTATTCAAATCTTGATCATTAGAACTGTCGCTTTATCTACACTGTGGCTTAAAATAGTGAATTTGGTGTGATATATTTATTCATAATATTCCTTGTGTGCAGCCTCTGTGTAGTGACTTTATTGAATGGTTGAAGTAAGTGACATAAAAAGATGCTATTTGTCTTACTGGAGGGTTTTCAGTGCATGTTTTCTGCTCTTCCTTTTCAGTACCACTCAAGGAGAAGAAGCTCATGGATGTGAAACTAGGAGAGCTGCCCAGCTGGATACTGATGCGGGATTTCACCCCTAAGGGCATTGCTGGAGCATTTCGAAGAGGTCAGAGCCTACAGCCATGTGTAAAAAAAAAAAAAAAGCAAATGCCTAGGTCTTCTGGTCTCTCTTTGCTCTGAATTAATTTGAGCAGTCAAGGCCTTGTCTCAGACCAGTAAGTTATGTAGAGCTCTGAATTAATTTGAGCAGTCAAGGCCTTGTCTCAGACCAATAAGTTATGTAGACCAATAAGTCCCTGTAGACAGGGACAGATTCTTAGCCCCTGAAGCTCTGTGTTTGATTGGTGATTGGTCCTATCAGAGGCTGGCTCTAAGATATTTCAGCCAAGAAAATGTTTTCTGTTGCTTGGAATTGGTACCACTGCCTGTCTTAAATGTCTACAAGCATTTTTACATCGCAAGACTTTTTAAAGAGGAAAATGAGTTTGAAGCATAGTGGACGTCAGTCCATAAGGTAACGCTCATCCCCCTGCCAGGCAAAACTTAGAGGGTGGATGTTTGAAATGATCTATCCTTCAGGTCTGTGCATGGTCACATCAGCCCCGTGGGGCCCCTGTCCTCATTCCAGGAACCAGAGACCCACATCAACCCACAGATGCCTGTGTAGTCTCCGGCTTTGAGGCCCCCCCCGTTTTTCTTTCCAGTCCCGGCCGCCCTGTAATTCTTGTGTGGCATGTTTTCCTTCTGCCCTGAGAGGCCCTTCCTTAGCTCAGATTAGAATTCTCTGCCTTTCCCCCATACTTAGTGACAACAGTCCCTGACTTCCCAGCTTCTCTATTATAAACCAGGGCCTTCTGGAATCATTTCATTCATTTTGTCAACCGAGCCACAAGCCCCAAAGAGGGCAGAAACCATTTCCTCACTGGTGGGGGTACCCAGCAGAGATGATCGCACAAAGCCTTCTTCCCCAGCAGGCAGACCTAGCCAGCCTCAGCTAAGTGGCCTTTACTTGGGGCTGGATTTTTGGTCAGAATGAGGGTAAGAGGATCCCTAGGGCTGGAGGTAAGGGTGAGGCAGCATCAGGCTAACAGGCTGAGCCAGGTCCGTTAAGGTGAAGGCCAAAGCGCAGGGGAAGGATCCAGGTGGGCCTAGCTGGGGCTTGACCCCTGGGGCCTTGGTGCTTTTCCCTTCATCAGCCAGTGAATTTAGGGTGAGTGGCTTTCAAGAGTCAGAATGGAACTGGGTCCCTGAATCTAAGCCAGACTCGACTTTGCAGTGTGTGAAGCATTCACCGTAAAGCAAACAGTGGCCTCCTCTCTTGTTTGCAGGTTACTACCGGTATTACAACAAGTATGTCAATGTGAAGAAGGGGGGCGTTGCTGGGATTTCTATGGTGCTGGCAGCTTATGTGCTTTTCAACTACTGTCGTTGTTACAAGGAACTCAGTGAGTGTCTCTCTGGTCGCCTTGCCCTCTGGGGTTTCTCATTGCTGGGTGGGACTGGCTCACTGTCAGGTTTACAGGTCCCTCATTCTATGGCAGCTGAAAAATTGGGAGGGACTTCTGAGAATGTAGTACAGAAGATGCTATTTTAAGCGAGAAAATTGTGGCAAAGAGAAAATAAAGACAGGAAAACTGACATGAAGCCCGGATAAAAGTAGTACTTAGGAAACATTCTGTAAGGTGCTGCAGGCTCCGCTGAGGGTTGGTGGAAAATTTTGGCTTCATCTTCCTAGCAGCCAGTGCGAAGAGAGAGGAGTGGTACAATCCAGTGTCTGTGCGGTGTTCTGGAAAGGCGTAGCTTGCGCTGGGTCTGAAGGCCGAGAGGAGCTTGTGGGGCGGGATTGGATAGCAGAGTGCCCACGGCAGCCCCTGCCAGTCTGAAAGCTGGGGCGATGCTGGCTCTGAAGGCCAGGCTCTTGGGGACTGTGTCTGAGTGTGCGTGCCTCCTGGGAAGGATGAGGCTGGCCAGGCTGCAGATTAGCTCCTGAGGTGCCTTCGTACCTCCACGGCTGGCAGGCAGGGTCTGGGTTATATCCTGAAAGGAATTCTCAGCATGGCTTTACCCACCGCCCCCCCGCCCCGCTCCCCGCCCCCCGCCATTTTGTGCTTTCACTACACCTTTAAAGAAACTTATCATCTTGCCTTTCTAACTTCAGAACACGAGCGGCTCCGCAAGTACCACTGAAGAGGGCCCAGTGTGGAGGCACTTTCGGCATTCCTGACCATGACCTTTGCCTGGCACCCTTGAATCCTTTCATATTCTAATTCAGAATTAACATCCAATAAAAGATGACTGGTACTTGGACTGCTTCCCCGGTGTAGCCATTTCCCTGCCCTCTTGGAGCTCTTGCTGTAGCAGCGGGGATGAGACTGCTCTACAGTTCCCAAAGGGTGATTCTTGTCCATGGCCCAGGGCTTTGAACCAGTGGGCTGCCCACCACGGCTTTGGGACCTCGTTCCAGCTCACTGGAGGTGGGGTGTCATCTAGTTAAGCCTGTCAAGTGCCCAGAGGGGTTTCCCTGCTCTTTGCACCTAAAGTATTCTAAGTACTTCTGGCTTTTTGTCAGCTGATGCTTTTACATCAGAACTGAGGCTGAGTGCCTGAGAATGCCTTCTCCTCCCCCATACTTGCTGCATTATGCAGGCTGCAGTAGTGTGGGCCCTCCTGGTAAGGAAACTTCACCTGTGGGAGGATTCAGGGGAGCAAAGGAAAACACAGGCCCTGACAAGAGTTCACAACTGCCCCTGTATCTAGCCCCCTCATCCTTACCCTTTATCAGAGATCTTCAGTAAAGGGACATGAAGGCCAGAACTGGTTTCTTGAGGGGTGTATGGTAAGAACATACTGCACGGAGTGTAAGGGCTGAGATGCTGTGGCTAATTATCTCGTAGAAGATCCACATTTGAATAAGCATTATCATCCAACATCTGAGATGGAGTTAGGAGACCTGCCACGTGGCTGTTCAAACAAAGGCCAAGCTTCCAGACTTTACCAGCTGCCAGGACAGAGGCCCTTCTTTCCCCTTGCAGCCTCCCTCCCCTCCGGGAGATTCACATGTCGAAAGAGGACAAGCAAACACGATATACCAAAGCTTTGTGCGGAGCATCTCGTGGGGCCAGCAGGAGTCCTCTCCTTGGCGTGGGGTCCCTGAAGTAATGAGACGCAGCTTAAAAAACAAGCTTTAATCAACCTCATAAAAAGTGTTCTTGTAATGGAACTTGGATAGGCCCACTTGCCCAGCAGGTTGCAGGTGATGGTTTCACATTTCCAGGTTCGGGGGCAGGATAGTCTCCGGAGGCCAGAGGTGAGTGCCTGTACAGATGCTTGGCGGGGCAGGAGGTAGGTGCACAGATGGACCGTGTCCTCTATTTAATGGGTGCTCTGCAGCTCCAGCTGAAGGTATACCTTTGAGATGTACCACTGTCAAGTAGGTGCTCCAAGGAAGTCAGCCCAGAGGAAAAAGACCCTCACACCTGAGAGCCCTGCGCCCTTCCTCTCAACCCCTGCCGCGTTGGAGCAGGACCAGGTCGAGGCAACAAGTGCACTTAAGTTTGCCCTGAAGGGCTGCCTCGTTCAAATCACATCAATAGGCACAGCTTCTGAATTCAGCAGGACATGGAGGAAGCAGGCATGCCCTGGCTGAAGCTTTAAATGATCCACCAGCCCCCGGAGTCACCAAGAACTGGTGTTTAATGATGAGGCCTCGAGGGGAAGGGCTGCCTTCCATACAGCCTGCTTAGCACAAGCCCTTCGCCACGACCTCCCCTCCCCAGATCGGTGGTGTGCAGGGAGATCCGGACAGGAGGTGTGGATGCTATACAAACATGATGCCGACTTGGAAGGACCAAACTAGAACACCTGTCCCCTTTTAAGAACTGATTACAGCAAAATGATAGGGAAACTGATGTAGCCCCTCAGAACGATAACCCCAGTGTGCCTGCCTGCCAGCCCCAGCCAGTGTGGCACCAACACCGGCGTGAAACAGTTCAGTGCACGCTCCCAACGAGGGCCCAGAGCGGTTCTCAACAGTGGTTGAGAACAGCGGTTCTCAACCCCTCTGGGCTGCTCTGAGCTGGCTCCAGCTGCTGTCACTGTCCACTGAGAAAGGCCAAGTGCCCTTTGGTGCATCTGTTGGCGTAGTGTCCTTTCTCGCCACACTGGGAACAGCAGGAAGGGAGGGAGGAGACAGAAAAAACCACCGTTTTCAAATGCAATTTTCAAGTAAGGTCACACCCACCAAATACCAGGTTAGGGATGGGACTCTGCAATTCTCAGTGGTACAGACTTTCGTTCAAACACGAAGGAAAAGGAGCTCCAAAGTATAGTGGCCCAGAAACTCCAGCAACTCAGCAGATGGAAGAGCAGCTGCGGAGCCAGAGGACGATCTGCGAGCACAGCAGGGAGAGCTCCTGCAGGCCTGTCCACGGAAGGTCTCATGGTGGGTGGCAGGACGATGAGAATCCCGTGGCACCAGAGCGCCCCCACCTGCCTGGGGACCAAGCCCCTCTGTAGGGCTGGCCAGTCACTTACCTTTCTGAGGCACTGTTCTGGAGACAGGAGGCAACAACGTGAGAGAAGCCACCAGGCTCCTCCCCACAACCCGGGGACTCACTGCCGTGGACACAAGGTGGGCTGCACCCAGTTTTCCCTCCTGGCTCTTGCAAACTTGCCTAAGCTACCCCAGGGATAGGTTTGTTACAGGATCAGAGAGATGGACAGTGGTTAGACTTGGGTGAACAGACCCAGAGCCTCACTTCAAAAATCTAGCACTGACTGACTTATCTCGGCTCCGATTCTCCAGGCCCTTCCTTAGCTTCTCTTCATTTGTTCTTGTCACTCAGAAAGCAGAAGGGATTTAAAATGTTGAACGGCAGCCTCAAGCACAGACCAGGGGGTTGGGAGGGGACGGCGGGGGGCACCCACTCGGCACTAACCCACCCAGGGCCCTCGCAGTCCCGACTTCCTTGGCCTCGGGCCCAGATCTCCAGCCTGCTCTGTCTCCCGCAGGCCCCATGTTCTCAAGTCAGCCTGATCTGTAGGTGTGACTGCATGGATGAGTGGCCCATGTAGCTGCCAGCTGGCCCTAACACTGAAGAGATGAGCAGAGGGAAGCACTGACCGGGCCCCTGCTCACAGCACCTGGCATGTCCATCGTCCTCCACAGCTGATCCTGGAGAACCCAGGATTCCCACAAGGTGCCTATAATGTTGACTATGAAGTACGCGTGGTGAGAAGAGGTGGTTAGGTTCCGGCTCCACCTAAGTTCAGGACGCAGGAAAGCTTGCTGCAGAGGGCGGGGGGCGAGGGCCAGGACGCCAGCCACACTGCCTCCGAACACCTGCGTTTCCTCAGACTTGCGAAGTGACTGGTCGGAGGCACAGCCCCCTCTCCGTACTCTCCTCACCTGGTGGGGCTCAGGCTCAGAAATCTGAGGCCTTTAGTGGTTTGGGGCACCTACCGTCCCCTCCCCGCGGAACACAAACCTCTCCTGGGAAAGAACTCACTGTTCTGTGAGTGTCTGACGGCTGTGGGAAGCAGCTCAGCCTTTCCTGAGGGAAAGTTCTAGGAACAATTAAAACTAAGCATACGCCTCCTGACTCGGACCTTCTACCTGGAGGCATGGATGCTGCTGTCAGGCAAGAGCTCACAGATGTCTAAGTGTCAGATTCAGCACTGTTTTTAGCGGCAAAAACGAAATTGCTACCAACAGAGAACTGGTAAAGTAAATTGCAGTTCTGTACACACCCAGTGAAGCAGATTAGATTTATGTTTACTGGCACAGAATGATCCACAACATATTACCGAGAAAAAAAAAAAGACTGTACAGGACATTATACATCCCAGGGCCCTGTTTGTATTAAAATATACATTCCTTGTGCTCGTGTGAATAAGTTTGGCACCGCAGTTCTCCGTGTGGGGTCCCTTGGGGTGTGAAGGAGCACCAAAACCAAAAATCGTGACAACACAGCACACCGAATTAAGTGGCTGTTTTAGGAAAGGTGGGAATAGGGACAACACTCTGTACCCAAAACATTTGTGTGTCATCTAAATGTTTTTACCAAAAGGGTGTACTAACTTTGTATTTTGTCTAATAATCCCCAAATCTGAAGTTTTTGTGGCCTAGTTCTATTATCAGTTGTTTCTGCAGACTTCCCTCAGTGGTGGTGGTTTCCTTCTAGGTTTTTGTGATTTTTAATTATGAACTCATTCTTCAGAACTTTAGCTGTGGGAATTAGATGTGGTCGGGTTGAGAATAAATTCCTTGTAGAACCAGGCACCAGGGGCCCACATCTGGGGCTGTTTCAGATCGGAAAACCCAGTTTACAGCTTTCCAGAATACACCCCGAACTCATGAAGGGTCCCCTGGTGACTATAAACTCTCAAGGCACTTACCTCCTCTGCCTTTCCATCCAGAGCCAAGAAGGAGACAGGTTTTCTAGTAGGTTTTTAAAAAAGTTTACCCTTTCCCTGAGGGGGGTGTGTGTGTGCTGGGGAAGGGGGTGAGTTCTCATCTGTTTTCTTCCTGTGTGGGCTTAAAGCTTTGTCCCCTTTCCCTTGGGGATGCCCTTGCAGGATGTGAGGACATCCAGAGGCTTCGGGGCCTGCTCCCTTCCCTGGGACTGGTGCTTCTACTTTATCCCCAGCCTCCCTTTCCCGCAAGCTCCGTCCTTTCATTGAGCAGCATGTGTGATCGTCCGCTTGGCCTTGGTGTGTTGTGGAAGGAAGCAGGTTGGTCTCCAGCCCACCAGGGTAGCCCGGTAGCCCAATTTCACTCTTACAGTCCAGAAACAAAGATGCTACCATTTTTCAAAACGAACTAGGCAGGGAATGAGGGAACGGCCCGGCCCCGCCCCCCAGCCCTGGGACTCACCTTGTAACAGGTGACCTGCTCCAGCGGCCGGGGCCCCCGGTTGCCTGCGCTGCTGTTTTGACTCTGCATGACCCCGATGACCTGCGGGGCTCTCTGCTGATTGGGAGAAGAGTTCTGACTCGTTAACTGGATCAAGGAGGACGACCTTTGTAATGGCGGATTGTTACTTTGCTGGAAAGAGTTACACAACACGGTTTTACTGCGGAAAACACGTGCACGCAGACTACCAACGGGGGCAGGAGAAAAGAGGGCGGGACTGCTCCCGCACGACCAGCAGGAGGAAGGGCTTCCGTGGTGGCCCTGCTCAGGAGAGCAGGCAGAAAAGAATCATCTGGTGATGATGGCAGGAGCCGCTGCCCGAAAAACACCATGCAGACACACAAGAACGAAAAATAAAAGTAGAAAACAAAACACCAAAGAGACGAGGAGGTCTCTGGGGCAGCAGGGCGAGGGCATGAGCAGGCCTTACTTTTGTTTCTGAGGTTCTAGCTTCAGGTCAGGATGAACGCTTGGTTCAGCCAGATGTTTAGCAGCCTACACGGCGAGCAACAGTCACAGAAAAACAGTTGGAGGCTGACATGCTGACCCGCGGTCTAGGGGCCGAGAGGGCCCTCCACTAGGGAGTCATGTGAGCAAGGGGGAACGGGGGCTCCTGGCGTGGGGACTGGACAGCTCCGCCACCTCCCAACCAAGAGGCGTCCTGGCTCTGGCCCCCGTAAACAGGAGCAGTGAGCTAGAAACCCCCAGGTTGTCACGGCTGCTCCTGCACCCAGGAATTCCTGGCTTTGCGATGAGGTCTGAGTTACCCCACAACCACCGGAGGGTGGGGCTCAGTGCAACACGCCCTCCTGGCTCAGCCTGTAGCACTCAAAGATGGACAGGGCTCTGGCAATGGGCTTAAGAGTTCAACCAAGTAAAAGGTAAGGATGCAAGATCAGTAGGCGGGGGTACTCAGCCTGTTGAGACCCTGCTTAGCGCACCTGGCCAACCTTTCTTCTGGGCCCCCAACCCTCCACTCCCATAACCAAAGCCAGGGTGCCCTGGTTTGTGGGGGGTGGGGGGCTGCACGTGTCTCTGGCATCTCTCCCTCTCATGCTTGAGACCATCAGCCCATTGCTGGGTTGTGGGACCTCCTTGTCTAGGAAGGTGGAGCCAGCGGGTCCTTCAGCACTGTTGCCCGCCCACCCTCCCCGCCAGGAACCTCCACATGGGGCAGCAAGGGCACTGGCACGGGCCGGAGACCCGGTCAGCCCCAGGTCTGCTCCCAGGCTGCTCCTGCCCAGCGAGGCCCACCTTGAGGACTCTGTTTCCCTGTTTATAAAGGGACGGGCTGGAACCAGAAGCACGAGCAGCAGACCCGCGGCGCCCATGCCGCCCTCCACTCTGGCTCCCGAGGGGGCGCACTGAGCCACTCGCCAGGCCAAAAGGGAAGAGAAGCCACGCGGGCGTTGGGCTCTAGCAGACAGCCCTCCACCTCCCGAGGGAGATGCAAACGGGAACTCAGGGTGACTCCCCTCCTACCCTACCTCCTCCCCTGCCTCTCACATGTCGCCAGCCGGGTCTGGGGCCGACTGCGCACCAGGGCAGGCACAGCTGGGGCTGGGGCACGGTACCTTTGTCGGAGGCTGCGTCTGCTGTGGCAGTGGGGGCTGCTCGGTGGTTCCCATTGGCAGTTCAAATCGAGGGCTGGTCACCCCGCAGCCAGAGGGGAGGACAACAAGGGGAAGAGAAGAGGGGATGAGAGAGGGGCCAGGCCAGGCAGTGTTCTCAAATTCTGGCCCTGGGAGATCACAGGCAGCCTCTGCCCAGGCACAGAACAACGCGCCTGGACGTGGGGTGGGTGCTGGCTCTCAGCTCTGCCCCGAAGCCTCGGGAAAGAGAGGCGAAAAGAACGGACTTACCTGGACTCAGACCCAGCTCTGCTCCCACCTAGCTGTGAGTCCTGCCAAGTGCTGCTTCCCCACAACACATACCCTTTCCTGAGGGTCTAGCTCAGCTGCCGGACCACCTCCAACAAGACACTCCCTGGCTCTCACCTAGGGAGTGGGACCAAGTCCGCAGCACCTGTCACCTGCCCACTGTGTGGCAGTGACCGGGACCCTGTGCTTCTGTGCAGGTGTCAGTGGGGTGGATGGAAGCAGCCCGGGGACTGGGGGACTACACTACTCTGCAGTCGCAGAAGTCTGACTCCACAACCACCCAAAGCGACAGATGTGCAGTAAGGCCTAGGAGAGGAGCTCTGAGCCCTGCCGGGCAAGGAAAACCCAGCTTCGGAGGCCACGGACGTGCCCTTGACCAGCTGCCACCCCTGCCACCACGTGATCCTGGCCAGTGGCTGAGCTCTGAGCCGCAGGGTTCTCATGTGTGAAATGGGGACATTCTCCATTCTCTCTCTTGCACACACACACACACGAAGAGCTGTATGGACTAGTGTGCGTGGAATCTCAAGGTCATTGCCTCCACAGAGGAGGCCCCCAAACCAAAGTCTCCTTCCTTTAGGGCACAGGTTCTTAACCAGAGATCCCTGAGTGACATGCAAAGACATGAGGTTTCCTGGAGCACGGAGGCCAGCTTTTCTCAGATCTATGACCCAGGAAAGCTTAAGTGCTGGGCTCGGCAGAGCCACCTCTGAGCTCAGGGAGCAGCGGCAGCCCCTGCCCCAGGCCCTGTGGTGACAGCATGCAGTGATCAAAGCCCAGATGGACCCGGGAAAGACCTAGAGGGCAGCAGGGCCTGGGGTAGGAGCAGGGTGGGGGAGTAGGGTCTGGCTACTCACTGCATGAATTTACACGAGGGCCCCTCCGGGCAGAATCCCACGAGGTAATTCACACAGATGACTCTCCGCGTGTGCCGGTGTCTGCAGAGGGGACCTGCGGAGCCAAGCGTCCGGGACACTCAGACGCCCTGCTTCGGGGGATGCCCTCGTGCCCCTGGGCCAGTTGGAGCCCTGCCCACACCACGGCCGGGGACGCAGAGAGCAAGAGCAGGGCTCCAGATGCGGGCTCTGCCTTGTATCCATTCAGGGGGGACAGCAGGCAGGGCCCACGACCCCTTCAGTGGTAGTTTCCTTATGGAAAATATGGGAAAGAAGGCCGTCCGTGCGGGAGGTCTGGGAGGCTCAGGTGAGCTGAGGGTGTAAAAGGGCCTCACTAGCCCCAGATGCCTAACCCCAGGTCTTACTGGAACAGGTGGGACAGGTAGAGAGGGTCGTGTGGGCAGAGGAAGAGAGGCCTGGCCTCTTGCTGGGGGTCCAGCCACCCTGACACCTACCATGCTTGCAGAAGCCACGGTCGTACCAAGGGCAGTCCTTGATCTTGGACTCGGGGTCGATGTGCAGGAAGGGGCACTCCTTGTTGCTGCATTCCCCTGTAGGGAAAGCCCGACACGCATCCACCTGGGGCAGCTCGGGGAGAGCTGGACTCAGACCGCCTCAGCTTTCCTCAAGGCTGGGGCCTGCTGTGTGGCAGAGGGCCAGGTGCTTCTGGTGTCCCTCCTGGCCTGGCGAGTCCTGACCCCCAGGGCAGTGTCATCCTCAGTCTCCTGACCTATACGTGGACTGTGTTCATGACCTGTACATGGTGCTTCCCTCTCGTGTCCATGCTGCCTCGAAGGGCAATGGCCCAGAGCCAGGCACAGGGTACACACTCATCAAATAACTCACGGCTCTACCCCTTACCTAAACAGGGTGCCCTGGGCACTGTGGGGGGCCCAAATGTGCAAAGGCACCAACTGAGTCCAGGAAATGACTGGTCTACTCTGATCAGCCCTTCACATCTACAAGCTGGGATGGGGGGGAAAGGTCTGAGGATTCTGCCTTTCAGGACAAAAGTAGGGAAGATTTGGGAACTCGAGGCTGGATCCCTGTGGTCAAGTGCGATGGAGCCTCTGTGATGACAGCTCCTTTCAGGAGCAACCAGCTCAGCCGGCCGGCAGCATCTGTCACCCAACTAAGGGACCATTTGCCCGGCTGGGCAGTGGCGCCACCTCCATGCTTGCCCTCCCCAAGTTACACACGAAAGGCCAGTCTGATCACTGCTGGTCAGAGAAAATGCAAACTCCTTTCCAGCCCCACCAGAAGTCCCTGTGGGGGCGAGCCCACCCCTCCCCAGGCTCCTCCTCCCCCAGGCATACTGGCACCCCAGCTGTGCCCCCAATGACCGGCCCCTTCTCGGCCTTCCGATCCCAGCTTCGCTCTCACCTCCTTAGAGAGGCCTTCCCTGACCATTCAGCCTAAAGGACACTGTGGTCCTCGTTGTGGCGCCATTGGTCGCCTTCAGAGCACTTCCTGCATGTCATTCCCATCTTTGTCTCACTAGTGTCAGCGGCCTCCCCCCCGGGCTGCTAGGGCAAAAGCACCGTGGGCCAAGGACTGGGTCTGTCCTGTTTACTAGGACCTTGACTTGTGTCACAGGCGACAGGAGCTGCAGACCGTGCATGCACACCAGGCCAGGCTCTGTTGGGAAAGGGCAGGTGGGGTGCATCAGAGCATCGGGGGGCTGCAGGCTCAGCAGGAATGAAGGAACCCAGGCCAGCCTGCAGAGGTGCCCTCAAGAGTCTGCCCAGGAGGGCTGGCTCCCACCTTTGGTCCAGATGGGAGATGGCTCCCATGGAAAGGGGATGCCCCCTTCCAGTGCTGGTTCCAGTGCTGGTATGGGTGGGGCGGGGCTGGGAAGCCTGGGTCCTATTTCTGACCCTCTGTGCTTTGACTTCACAGCTTACGCTACCTCTACGAAAAAAAAAAAAAGCCACAACTACCGTTAATAAACTGGTGGGCCACACCTATTCGACTGCTGGAATAATTAACGTCTCCTGATGACAGTGCTGACAGTGCTCTGAAAGCGTGCAGCATGCCCAGCCCCCCACAGAGAGTAGAGCAGGGGTCCAGAGCCCACCCCCATCCTAACCAACAGGGCCAGCTGAGGTTGCTGGGCATGGCCTAAGGTTCTGAAGCCGGAGAGCTGGGAGACGGCAGAAAGCACAGGCACACCAGCAGCTGCTTCTCCCCTCTGGGTCTCAGGTCTGGGTGAAGCCTCCCCAGGGCTCCCGAGGCCGGGCGTCTGCTTACCGAACTTGGAGTAGAAGTAGCACTCGGGCATCTTGGTCATGTCGTACTCGTGCAGGAACTCACACTGGTCCCCCTTCTTGCACAGCCCCCGCAGCCAGTGTTTGCACACAACGGTCTTCTCGCCACTGATGTGGCGGAATGGACACATGCCCCCTGCCGAGGAAGGGGGGGCTGTGAGGAGGGCAGGGGGGCCTTCACCCCACACGTCCCTCAAGTACCCAGAGCGACATGTCCTGGAAGGTGGTGTCTGCCTCGGGCAGAAGGCCATGTGATTTCAGGCAGTACAGAGCCACACATCTTAAGTTTTAGTACTTATTTTATGTCAGCGCGTTCTGGAAAAACCTAAAACATCGAATCATGATATCACAGACATCACCGTAAAATGGAAGCTTAACAAGCCTAAGGGTGGTGGGAGAATGAGCTTCTTTCTTTCTTTTTTTTAAAGATTTTATTTATTTATTTGACAGAGACACAGCGAGAGAGGGAACACAAGCAGGGGGAGCGGGAGAGGGAGAAGCAGGCTTCCTGCAGAGGAGGGAGCCCGATGCGGGGCTTGATCCCAGGACCCTGGGATCATGACCTGAGCCAAAGGCAGACACTTAACGACTAAGCCACCCAGGCGCCCCAAATGAGCTTATTTCTTAATTGAATTATAGCTCTGGTGATACACCGACATGACAAAAAATTGTAGGAGTAGTAAAGGAAAGACTGGGGTTTGGGAAACACAACCCTTTATAAAAAAACAGAAGGTAGAGAGGCCCACCAGCAGAAGCCTGGACTCCAAGTGGGTTCCACTTCTAGTTATGAGTGCCCACTTAGCATCCAAGAATTAAGAAAGAAAATCAACTTCGGAACTGAAGAAACGCATTGTATGTAAACTGGGGGAGGTCTCCCTCCTGTAGCAGGACCTGAGCGATCAGCCACCAGATGGGACAGAGCCATACCCTCAGAAACTCCTATTTCTAACTTGTGACCTGGTGGGACCACTGGGAGGGCCCAACCACAATGAGGTTGTGATGGAAAGACCTAAACCAACCCTTTCTAACAGAACTTTGCAATGATGTTCTATATCTATGCTGTCCAATATGGTAGTCACTGGCCACATGTGTTAACCAACTAATAGCCACATGTGGCCAGTGGCTACTAGTTAGTTAACATAGAGACAGCCACAGTGCCCTGTGTTAAGGATAGCTGTCTGACAGAAGGTGGCAGGTCAGAAGGCCAGATTTACTGAGCACAGACATGGGAAGAAGACCAGGAGCCCAGTGGGAGATGATACTGCAACCAGACAGCCCCAGGTCAACCTGGTTGATCTACCTGGCAGGTCTATCATTTCCGTGGTAAGTGACTGAGTTATAGAACCAAACTTGCCAAAATCATCCATTAAAACCACCCCCTTGCTCTAATTCTGTGCTCCCTACTCACTGGTTAAAATTTAGTTTCCAAATAAATTTGCCTACAGGAAGAAAAATGGCCAGACCTATACCTGGCATCTCAGCTCCCACCCAGCAATCTGTCTCATCAATTAGTGGATAGTCTGGTTCCAGCAGTCTCTGTTGGAGCCTGGTTAGTATGAACAAGGCTCCACGGGACAGACTACTGTAGGGGTTTTTGATGACATGATACAGAGGACAGTGAGCCTGTGTAGACTGTAGAAGCAGAAAGGCTTGGGTTCAGACACTGGCTCAGCTACTCACTAACTCTGCGATCTTGAAAAAGCTCCTGAACGCCTCAGTGCTTGGCCCTTCTGTCCATGTCACAGGTCAGCTCGTGGCCACAGGCAAAGTGAGGTGAGGAGGCAGACTCAGAGTGAGGTTCCATCCCGTGTTGTAGGTTTTGGGCAGAATACCCCCCATGTTCCTAGCCTGTCCAAAGCACAGTAATTTCATCTAGGGACACTGCTAGTCTGCAGAAAGCAATGCAAGCCAGAGGCCTGATGGCCTACGACTCTGCTGGGGGGCAGGGTGATGGAAAGCACCTCAGGAGGAATGTCAGGGAGCCAGGGGTTTCTTACCTTTGCCACAGGCAGCTTTCAAAAAGAATTCGCAGACAGCAGCTCCCGACTCTGCAGGAAGGAAAGGAAAAGCATCAACGTGAGGTGTGCCGGGGGACAGCTGAAGACATGGGGAGGGGACCCGTCTTGCCTTTGACCCGTGAAGGGTTCAGGGTACAGGAAACTGGCAAAAAAATGCAAGGCCTGGCAAGCACAAAAAAAGCTGCTCATTTCGGTCACTCCCTGCAAAATGAGACACCCATGTTGAGACCAGACATTCTGAGAGCCTCCTATAAGCGAGATGCCTTCAAGGAGTTAGGAGTGGGTGTGGGAAGGATGGGGCACAAGATCACAGAAGTTAATTACCCCCAGTTCGGACTCGGGCCTTCCAGAGGGCTAACTCATGGGTCTTTGAACATGAGGCAGAGGGAGGGAATGAGCTCACAGAAAACACAAACAATCGAAGGGGGACTCTGAGGAAGGGACAAGCGCCTCAGAGGTGCTATTCTGGAGGGAAGAGCATAATGGAAGACACAGAGGCAGAACTCCGCCTGTCCAGATCTAGTTCATGGTGGCGCAACACCAACACACAATTATTAAAGGTGCGGTCTTCCGCTTCCGCAGAGGCAGCCGGTTCAGGTGAGGCGAGCGATGGAACAAAGGCTGAGTGTGGTATCAGTCCCTTTGCAATGAGCCCAGGAATTCACTCGCCATGGCTGCTAGAATAAACGGTCCGTGGCTTCATAAACAGTTTTCTCTATCAGCAGGCATGTTAGAGTTGCTGAAAATCCACCAACAGCATCTTGGAAAGCCAGTTTCATACCTCTTCATTAACTTGCAAGAGATTCCTTGGATTCTCGGAAGCAGGCAGATTTTGCTAGGACAAAACTTAAGGCTGTCAAGAGGGTATCACTCGTTTGCATCTTAAAAAGCCAAAAAGTTGTCACTTATTTGCATTTCAAAAAGTTGAAAAAGCCTTATAGTAAGAAAAGCATCATAGAAGAGTATTCCTGGGCTCTTCTCAGAGGTTTGCTTCATTCCTTGAAGCCAGAAGTCCACAGTCCTGGGGCCTCAATTTCAGGCAGATAGGTTAAGAGTATGCCTTTAGGGGAGAACTGACAATTCTTCCCAAAACAAGATGACAGTGAAGTGCCGGGACAAAGGAGAAAGGGTTGTGGCCTCCCAGGGCTTTAACACACTGAACTAGCTCATGGGCTGGCAGAGTGCTGAGGGTGCCTACCAAGTCTGAGGCCCAAGCCAGGGCAGCACCCATGGCCAGGCATGTCCTTGACTCTCCTTAGAACAGGTATGTGGGTCCCCTGCTACTACTGCACCTGCCTTCACAGACTGAAGTCTGTGCGGTCCCATGCTGGAGAAAGGTGGGCGGGAAGGAGCTGCCCTGCATGGATGGTTCCATGGCCTCAGGCTAATGCCATCAACACAGGGAAAGGCCACATGTGCAAAGGTGGATGTGCTCGCACAAGCAGGAAGTGATCACGTGTGTCGAGGGGTCAGCAGCTGCTTATAAGATGTGTATCATAGAGATGCAGGTGGTGTGTGTATAAGATAAGGTTGCCAGAGGTCTGTCACGTGGGTAGAAGCAATATCTCACAGAGAAGCATCAGCATGAGTGGAACAACTGTGGTCACATGTGCATGAGAAGTGTGGCCACTTGACAGGAATGAAGCTGCAGGGAGGCTCTGCCAGGCCACTGACTGGCGGGAGAACAGGGGAACTCTGGCAGTTATGGGACACGGCACAGGGAACCGCAGACTAAGCCAGTCAAGAACACTGGAGAGCTCACCTGGCTCCACCATGTACCGAGTCGCCAGGGACCAAGTGGTCTTCGGCAAGTCCCTTCCCCCACCCAGGCCTCAGATGCCCCATCTGTGGATTGAACACAAGGACCTCTGAGCTTTAATGTTACAACGTTAGACTTCAAGTGTGTCCAGAAAGGAGAGAAGAAAACTGCTAGTTTCTTTTAAAGTGCTACACATCCACCTAAGTTGGGGGCTGGTGGAGCTATCATCTGAAGGTGGAGAATGAAGGGAGCTCAAGCAGCTGCCCAGGTGTGATGAATGGCCCACAACTGGGGTCCAGAGCAAAAGTGAGGGATAGGCTCCCAGGAGTGCACATCCTAGAATGGAGCTTGAAAATCTAACTGGGAATCTCCTACAGAGAGGGACAGGTGGGCCTTCCTCCAGCAAGACTCCTCCAACCACCCAGTTTTGATGAAAGCAAGGAGAGGGTGCTCAAAGTGGGGGGCTGGAGGTGGAGAGGGGGAATATCTATTTTCTTTTAGTTAGGGGAGGAAAGTAATTTCCAATCCGAGACACCCGCTTTCATTCAAGACTTACTTGAACAGCCAGACATGGTCCTGCCCTCCTGAAGATTGTATTAGAATAGTCCCAGGGGTTCAAAGACTGGAGAAAGGGGGGCTCCCGAGTCTGAATAGGGGAAGGGGGTCCCAGGATAGGTGGGGGAAGGGGGTTCCACCACCGATGGGGAGAAGGTCCCGGGCCCCAGGGACAAGGCGTCCCGAACCGAGGGGGAGGGGTCCTGGGGCTGAGTCGGTCGCGCCCCTCGCCCGCGGCCCGGGCCCCGCGCTCACTGTCCATGCCGGGGAAGGGCAGCGGCTGTGCCCCGAGCTGCTGCTCCACGGCGATCTCCAAGTCGAACTTGATGTGGTCCACGCTGGCGATGATTTCCTGCATGGCGGCGGCGGCGGCCACACCGGCCCGACTACCTCTCAGGTCCCTCGCCGCCCTCACACCTCTACCCGCCACCGGCCCCGCCGCACACGGTTCTCCGCCTCGTCTTGCCTCGCCGCCGCCGCCGCCGCCGCCGCCGCCGCCGCCGCCCGAGGGATGCCGGGAACTCCCGGAGCCCGCGCCGGCCTTTAGCCTGTCCAGACCCGGCCAATAGAGCGGGGAGTGCGGGACGCTCCGCTAGGCCAGGCTAGCCGCCAGCCGAACCCCCGCCTCTCCTCGCGGCCCGGGATAACCCGCCTCCGCGCGTACGGGGCGGGGAGTTCGCGTCGCGGACTGCGCCTGCGTGAAGTCGGCAGCGGCGTGCGCGTAAGAGAAGGTCTGTGGGAACGAGACTCTGGGCCGCGGCGCGGTGAGGCGGGCGCGGGAGTCGGGACGACGCGGAAGGGTGACGCGGAGCCGGATTGGGGGTGACTTGGGGCGGGAGTCCGGGCTGCATTTGCTGGGCCGGACTTTTTGAGTGAGATCCTGTTTGACCTTTACTGGAGCGCGGTTTCCGGGCGGGGACAGGACGGAGGGGCAGCGAGTGTCGCAGCTGGGGTCAGGGCCGGGGAGGTCTAGTGAGACGACCGAGGTTCCAAAGGCGAGTGTGGAGGGGGTCGGGCTGGCCAGAGGGCCCCGGGGAGCGTCTGGGGAGGGGCCGGTCCCCCAGAGAGGACAGCGGCGGCGCGTCTCTAATTCAGGGGTTATTAGCTTGGGCAGGTTAATGAACTTGGGTAGAAAGAAAATTGCACCTTTAGTTTTCTCTGTGTGAAATGAGCATTTCCTTCCGTGACTGACGGAGTAGCGTTAACAGGGCCCTAAACTAAGTCGTGATTTCTAATGGGGATGAGTGTAAATGATGGCTGGAGACACAGCATCTGCAGCTACTACAAGCTATCAGTTACACCGATCCCTGCTGTGACAGGATGGCAGATCTTGGTATTAATGCGTCGAAAAAACACTAGTATAGGAGGAGTTTTTTAAAAACGTCTTGATACTTATTTCGGTATCATTGGGGTTTTTTCTTGCAATGTGGTGTATTTCATTTAATGCATGTAAACACTTTATCTAATGTGGCTACTTGAAAATGTAAAATTAGACATCGTAAGTGATTGCAGATTGATTAATAACCGAGGCTCAGGAAGGGGAGTGACTTGCTGGGGGTCTTGGAGCAGTGCAGCCGAATGCAAAGGTGAGACTGGCTGGCTGTGGAACTGGGCTGCCTGTGAACCCAGGTCTGGGTACTGTATTAGCCTCTCTTGACCAGCACCCTCGTGATACTAGTACAGAGGGCCCTTAGCATTCCATGTCTGGTGAGGCCTGCCGCTCTAACAAATATAACTTGAGCACAAATGTAATTTTACATTTTCTTTTTTTTTTTTAAACATTTTATTTATTTGACAGAGAGAGCAGGAGAGGGAGAAGCACACTTCCCCGTTGAGGAGGGAGCCCGATGCTAGACTCCATCCCAAGACCCCGGGGTTATGACCTGAACGGAAAGCAGATACTTAACTGACTGAGTCACGCAGGTGTCCCCTGATATTTTTATTGAAGAGTTTCAAGTGTGCAGACCAGGATCTCTAGCTTAGCACTGTTCAGTAGAAATATAATGCCAGCACATATATGATTTAAAATTTTTAAGTAGCCACCTTAAATAGAGCTTACAAATTGTGAAAACTAATGTTACATTTTTTTATTTTTTTATTTTTTATTTTATTTATTTTTTAAAAGATTTATTTATTTTACAGAGAGACACAGTGAGAGAAGGAACACAAGCAGGGGGAGTGGGAGAGGGAGAAGCGGGCTTCCCACGGAGCAGGGAGCCCGATGCGGGGCTCGATCCCAGGGACTCCAGGATCATGACCTGAGCCGAAGGCAGTTGCTTAACCGACTGAGCCACCCAGGCGCCCCTGTTACATTTTTTTTTAGCCCAGTATATCCAAAATTATCATTTCAACATGTCAAAAGATTATTGTGTGTAATTTACCTCCTTTTTTTGGTATAAAATCTTTGAAATCTGGTGTGTGATTTGTTCTTAAAGTGTGTCTTCATTTAGACCAGAGACTTTTTAAGTGTTCAGTAGCCACATGTGGCCAGTGGCTACTATATTTTTTTTTGAAGATTTATTTATTTATTTATTTGAGAGAGAGAATGAGAGAGAGAGCACATGAGAGGGGGGAGGGTCAGAGGGAGAAGCAGACTCCCCACCGAGCGGGGAGCCCGATGCGGGACTCGATCCCGGGACTCCAGGATCATGACCTGAGCCGAAGGCAGTTGCTTAACCGACTGAGCCACCCAGGCGCCCCAGTGGCTACTATATTGAACAGCACAACTCTGGCCCATTTATCTACAAATTTTGCAGAAAAGGCATGCTTGAGTTAACTTCCCTGTGCAGAGGCCCAGAATGCTATTTTTTCCCTAATAATACATTATAATAGCTACAATTTTTAAAGTATCTATTAAATGAGATGTACTAGAAACATCTCACTGAATGTTTATAACCTTGTGGTGAGGTCGGTAGGATCATCCTCATCTTGCAGCTGAAGAAATCTAGGCACAGGAAGGGCAAGGAATGGGCCTGGTCATACAACTGTGGCCCTGACTTCAGTGCCCGGTCTCTTAGATCATGGCTTGATAATACCACTAGCTTATGTCTGTTGAGTGCTTACTGTGCCAGCACTGTGCTGCACACCATATATTGGAGGCCTCATTCGATCGTTGCTGTGGTGCTGTGTGGGCGATGGTTCTAGTTAACCCCAGTTCACAGGGCAGGAGACAGACCAGAGCGGCGAGTGCCCAGGGACTCATGGGTGGTTCTTTGGCAAAACTGAAATCTGAACCTAGGCGTTCTAATCTCAGCGCTCGTGCTTGTGACCACTTCTTTGTCTTTTCTCTGTCTTTTGTGACTACAGACCCAAATAGTTTTCATTATGTTTCTGACCTGTGCCAGGCCCTGGAGGAGAAAGCCAGACATGGACCTCGCAAGATTGGCCCGGCTTTTCTCCGGACTCCGCCCTGTGGGACTGTCCATCCTCCAGCACCTCGGCCCTCTCGGAGCCAAATGGGCAGGAGGCAGGGAGGGGCCTGCATGGCTGAGGGCTGTGGGGCTGACTCGAGCCTGCAGCAGCTCCCCCTCACAGCTGCCCCTTGGCCAAGGGAACCAGAAGAACATGAGCAGCCTCAGCTCTGACCTGAGCCAGAGTGGCCCCACGGCCGCTCAGGAGGAAGAGGAGGAGAGCTTTGGGACCCTCTCCAACAAGTACTCCTCGAGGAGAATGTTCCGAAAATCGACAGCCCAGTTACATAACCTACGGCTCAGGGAACAGAGTGCTGAAGATGAGGAAAGGGGGCTGGAGCCAGAGATACGGCGGGGCCGGAAAAACACGCCTTACTGGTACTTCTTTCAATGCAAACACCTGATCAAAGAAGGGAAGGTGAGGGAACTTTTGGATTCTGTTGCTCCCGGTTCTACTCCCTGGAAGCCCAGTATTTTGGAGGGGCCACCTTACCTTCCTGATCTTTAAATATGTGGATGATTAGGGCTCTTCTGTCTTCACTCACCCTGGGTGCTTCATCGGGCAATCCACCAGCCCCCTGGCTTTCACACACCCCCCTCCCCGCCCCCGTTGCAGTTCTCATGTTCGTATCTCCAGCCTAGTCTTCCCAGTCTGCATATCCAGCTACCTTACCAGCTTCCTTAGGCTCACCTACACGGGCCTGAAAGTTTGGTTTCCAGCCTTGTTTTCCCTACACTGCCTTCATCTCACTAAATGGCGATTGCATTGTTGCATCTGCCCAGGCCAGAAGCCTTTGGGCTGTCCCGAACTCTTCTCTTTGTCTCACCAGCCGGAGCTTCAAAATGTTGCCAATCCTCACACTTCGCACAGCACTACCCCTGAAAGCCCAGGCCTCTCCTTATCCTCACCCCTTCAGCTGTCACACTTGCCACTGAGCTCCCTGCCACCCTCACCACCTCCTTCTCCACGTCTACGCGCAGCACAGAGCCACCCTGTTAAAGTAGATTATGTTACTCTTCCTTCCAGGACTCTCAGTGTGTTCGATGACACTGATGTTCGTTCTCTTAGGTGTTGATAATGACGTTGCATTTATGTTTAAAAATCTCTTAGAGGTGTGTGTTGAAGATTTGGGGAACGAAATGATGTAATGTCTGGAAATGTGCTTTAAAAAATTCATTTTGGGGGTGCCAGGGGGGGGCTCAGTTGGTGAAGCGTCCAACTCTTGATCTCAGCTCAGGTCTTGATCTCAGGGTCGTGAGTTCAAACCCCACATTGGGCTCCAATTTAGGTGTGGAGCCTACTTAAAAAAAAAAATTCAGTTTGGAGCAGGAGTATAGGGTATGGATGAACAAGATTAGCCAAATTTAATAACCATTGTAGTTACACTATTCTCTTTACTTTTGTGTATGTTTGAGCTGTTCCGTAACGAAAAGTTGAGAAATAAAGAGAAGCCAAAGCTCTCAGAATAGCTTATGAAGCCTGCAGGGTCTGCCTTCCACCCCCCCTTACCTCTCTACTCTTATCTCTTCCGCACGATGCTACAGCCATCCCAGCCTCCTCTCTGCTCCTCCAACTCCAACTCCCAGGCACACTTCTGCCTCAGGGCCTTTGCACTGGCTGTTTTTCCTCAGTGTTGTTCCTTCCCTCACCTCCTTCAGATCATTGTTCTGTCACCTTCTGGGTGAAGCCCTGCTTGGCTGTCGTATCTAAAACTGAATCTTCCATCCCCTTCTTCGGGTGCTTCTTGCTTTATTTTTGTTTTAAAACCTAACATCGTTTGACACAGTATATATTTTTCTTCGTTATTTCACTCGGCGTAGGTCTTTCCACACTAGAAGGTGTGTTCCGTGAAGGAGTTCCCTCTGTTCACAGCTGTATCCCTGGCAAATAGACCTTGCCCGGTACATAGCAGGATTCGGTCATTATTGGTTGAACCACTGGATGAAAAAAAAATTAAGTTGTAAAGGAGTGACCTGAGGATTTAAAGGGGATGGTGTAAGGAGTAGGGGTGGGGTAGAGACGACTGTGGGCCATGGGGCTTTGCAGCCAGAGGAAGCTGGTCACTCGGGGCTGCCGTGTTGCGCCATCACAGGAGGTGTTGCTGTGAATGGCCCCCTGCGATCGTGCAGCACAGTGGCCCTGAGTGTGCAGAACCCAGTCTCCCATTCCCGCTTAGACCCAGGGGGTTGGCGCTACAGATTGGGTCACCCAGGAAGCAAGGGCAGGACAGATCCCGGATTTGCAGAATTAACATTTTCTGAGGACTTACTGAGGGCCAGGCCCTGGCTCTCCTGTAGGCCCACAAAGGGGCAAAGACATGGATGGCCCTGCTTTCAAGGAGTCCATCGTCTGGCTGGAGGGAAGGCAGCCATGGCAGTGGGGCCAAGAGCCTTCATAGGTGGTGGGAGTTCGGTGGGCTTTTCCTCCCGGCCACCACAAAGCCCTCTTGCGGCAGAGCGCAGGGACCGAGAGGCTGGTGGCAGAGGCCCAGCACGGGTGTGTGGCTCCTGGGCAGGCCTGGGCGGGTCCCTCATTCTCAGACTCCTTCCCGCTGCTGAGGCTCTCTGAGGCCGCCCTGAGCCCCCTCCCGTGTTCCCTCCCAGCTGGCCGAGGCCCTGGACCTGTTTGAGCAGCAGATGCTGAAGGAGGAGCGACTCCAGCCCCTCGAGTGCAACTACACGGTGCTGATTGGGGGCTGCGGGCGGGCCGGATACCTGAAGAAGGCCTTCCGCCTCTACAACGATGTGAGTGGGGGGCCCAGGGCCAGGGGGAGGGGGCGAGGCTCCAGAGAGCCTGGGCTTTAGAGGCAGAGAGAGCCGGGCATGCATGGTGGGATGTCACCTGCGGCCAGACTAACCTCCCAGCCTTTGTTTCATCCTCTGTAAAGTGGAGGTGATCTTGGATGATGACATGAGATGCGCCGGAAGGTCCTCCAGCACCTGCCTTGACTACGGCAGGGCCCACGCGCCCCCTTCCCTCTCCCCCATTGCCCCAGGTGTGTTCACGTCCCCTCACCCCTACTTACTCCCCACACCGGACGCACATGCGCACTTGGCTTCCAAAGCTGGTCCTCTGAAAAGGGCTTTCATTCTTCTTGGAAGATGGTTTTGCTTTATATTCATCCACTTCCTGTGTTATCTTTATTGTTCTCACAGCCAGGAAGCTGTTTGCTCTGTGAGTCGAGAAAGAGCTTTGTCTAGGAGGATAGTAGGCTCTAGTAGGAGTGATCCCACCCTCTCTCGCCGCCAGGACCTGGGCTCATCCTTTATCCCAGCAAGACTTCTTGTCATTTGGGATGCGCCTGCCCGAGGCCGGGTCATCTCTAGGGGGAGGAAGGGGGAGGAATTGTGGTTACAAATGATAAAGTGACGTATCCTCTAATAGACCTACTGAAATATCCTGGTGGGGAATGACGGGAGGCTTCCCTGACCAGCAGAAAAGCGTTCAGGTGCTAAGTGAGGGGCGGCTGGTGCCAGGGGTTGTTTCCTGTGGTTCTTGGTTCACAGTCCGGTAGCAGCCCTTCCTCACATGCGCAGGATCCTTAAGTGACTTACCACCTGTCACCTCAGAGAAGCGCAGTTCCCTCTTTCTTGCCTTAAGTTATTCTCCATCAGTTTGCTGCTTATTTTTTTTTTAATTTTTTATTTTGAAACAATTTCAGGTTTATAGCAAAGCTGCAAAGACAGTAGAAAAAGTTCCCAAATACCCGTCACCCAGCTAATCCCCATATTAGCATCTCGTGTAGCGATGGTGCATTTGTCAGAACTAAGAAACCACCGCTGGTACATGACTATGGACTGAACTCCAGATTTTACTTGGATCTCACCACATTTTTCCACCGAGATCCTCTTTCTATTCCAGTATCCAGTCTGGATTCTCCATTTTGTGACGTTTTTAGAGTTTCTTTTTTTTCCCCCTGACATTGACAGATTTAGGGAGTATTGGTCAGGGGTTTTGTAGAATGTCTCTATATTTGTACTTTCCTTTTCTTTTTTTTTTAAAAAGATTTGATTTATTTATCAGAGAGAGCGCACAAGCGAGGGGTGGGCAGAAAGAGAAGCAGACTCCCCGCTGAGCAGAGGCTTAACCGATGGAGCCACCTAGGAGTCGCTTTCTTGTGACAAGGCTGGGCTTATGGGCTCGGGGAAGGGCTATCACAAAGGTGAAGTGCCCTTTTCCTGTCGGGACTTATCAGAGAGGACGCATACTTTGGTCACTTGGTGAAAGTGATGTGTGCCAGCTTTCTCCACCACTACTATTTTTCCTTTGCCATTTTCTGTGCATGTCCTTTGCAGCCCTTATTACTGTTGTTGATTACTTATTTGTCTGTTATGTTTCCTCCTGTCTGGAGTGGAAGCTCGATGCAAACAGGCTGTGTCTGTCCTGTAACCACTGGTGGCCAGTGCCCAGCCTGTAGTAAGTCCTCAGGACACATTTGTCGTTTATGTGAGGACGCGCACAGCATACCTCATCCTCAAAGTCGGGATCACCATCCTCATTTTTCAGATGAGGAAACAGAGGCCCAGAGAGATGAAGGGCCATGTCCAAGGTCACCCTGCTTGAGAGCATTGGGGCTGGGATTTGAGCCCCAAATGGCCTGACTGTGAGAACAAGGCTCTTTACACTCCTCTGCAAGCAGCTTGTCACCTGTGCTCAGTCAGATGGCCCTTCTCTGGGAAAGAGCACTTGGGTTTACCAGGAGCTTCTCAAACTCCAGCTTGCTCAGTCACCTGGAGGGCTTGATGACCCCCAGGTTTGTGACTCTGCAGGGCAGTGGGTGGGGAGGAGGTCCTGAGATGCTGCAGTGACATGCTCCTGGCCGCTGCTGGTCTGGGGGCCACTCTCCTAGCTGACCCTCACAACAGCCTTTCAAGGTGACGGTATCATCCTCGTTTTTCCAACAAGGAGCTGACTTGCCCATGACCCCTCAGTTAGTAAACGCTGGAGCTGGGGTTTGATTGTCCCCTCCTGCCTTTTCCCAGACCAGCTTCACCACATGGGTCTTAACAGTTAGGGTGACCTGGGAGCATCAGAAGGATCCTGCTACAGGCATCTCAGGCCCAGAGTGGGCTGATGGCCATGGGGAGGATAACTTTTTGCTTGGTGCATCTGGATGCAGGGTCCGTTTTCAGAGCCCTCTGGCCGAGTCAGGGTTTTGGCTCTGACGTGTCACTCAGTTCTGCCTTAGCACAGGCCCTGCTAGCGGATCTGTTTAATGCAGGAACACGGTCCTCTCTAGCTTTCACCCTCAGGGTGGCTGTCACCTGTGTGTCCAGCTGACCCCAGAGCCACCTCCAGATGTCTTCCCATCTCCACAGATGAAGAAACGGGACCTGGAGCCCTCAGATGCCACATATACAGCCCTGTTCAACGTCTGCGCCGAGTCGCCCTGGAAGGACTCTGCACTGCAGAGTGCCCTGAAGCTCCGGCAGCAGCTCCAGGCCCGAAACTTCCAGCTCAACTTGAAAACGTACCATGCACTGCTGAAGATGGCTGCCATGTGTGCAGACCTCAGGATGTGCCTCGATGTGTTCAAGGTGAGGTTTCCCCTTCCTTCCTTCTCCCCACTGCGCGGCCAGTCCCACGTGGCAGATGTGAAGCTGTGGCTCTCTGTCCCTCACGGGAGGGCTCAGGGGCTGATGAGGAGTCGGGCTCGGGTTCACCAACTCTCAGAAGCCTCAGTCTGACAGCTAAAGAGGCCCCGTCCCTAGGAGGGCGGTGGGCTGTGTGTGCTGTGACTCCGTATGTGGGACCCCTTGGTGCCGCAGCAGAGGGCGGGGCTTCAGAGCACTAGGGATGAATCCGTGCTCCCCAGGGAAGGCCTCCTGCTTAGAACAGTGAACAAAAATACCCGGTTTCCAGGAAGTGCCAGGTTCGAGGGAAGCAGGGGAGTGGGGGCCTGAGAGTGCTGAGCAGGGGCCTGTGTCAGGGCTTTGGCCCAAAGCCTCTTTTTTCTTTTTTTTTTTTTAAGTGTGCTCCATGCTGGAGCTTGGAGCCCATGTGGGGCTTGAACTCTCGACTCTGAGATCAAGACCTGAGCTGAGGTCAAGATCAAATGGGCCACCCAGGGGCCCCCTGGAGCCTCTTATTCCCCGGCTATAAGGAGGGTTTTTATTCCCAGTTCCAGAGAAGGAGACAGTGAGGGGGTTTAAGCAGGGAGCAGCACGAGCTGGGTGGTGGTTCTGCCCTCTCAGTTTGGGAAGGGAAACAAACATGAGTTAACACCTAAAGGAAGGCTCTAGGTCCCCATGACCAAACCTCAGAACCGCGGCACACCCTTGGCAGCCTGGGCTTCCCTCGGGCCCATGGGCACGCTTGCTCTTTGCTCTTAGGTTCAGTCTCTCTTTTTCCATCGCTGACTGACGCTTTTCCTCACTGCACGTCATGAGGTCCCGCCTGCCCCTCGCAGGAGAGACGACCTGATGGGCTGTCCGGCTGCAGAGCAGCATTTGACCAGGCCGTGGGTTGGCTGCCTTGAGCTGGCCTGCCCTGCTGGAGAGGCAGGATTGTGGGTCTCACGCCTGGAGACCTTGAGAGTAACGCATCCCCCCGAAGGGTGCTGTGTGAGAGGCAGGTAGCTGAAGCTTCCAGAAGAGGGCAGTGTGGCTGATAGGCCTCTGATCTGTCCAGAGATGCCATTGATATTTTATGCAGGGCACTCTAGCTGGTGGGGGAGAGGGACAAGTTAAGAGACAGCTGTGATTGTCCAGGAAGAGGGAGCACAAACTAAAACCTCCCGGAGAGGGGCGCCTGGGTGGCTCAGTCGGTTAAGCGTCTGCCTTTGGCTCAGGTCATGATCTCAGGGTCCTGGGATCGAGCCCTGCATCGGGCTCCCTGCTCGGCGGGAAGCCTGTTTCTCCCTCTCCCTCTGCCCCTCCCCCCTGCTCATTCTCTCTCTCAAATAAATAAATAAGTGAATCTTAAAAAAAATAAAATAAACCTCACTGAGGTGGAAGGTTTGGCGACAGAGGTGGGGACGGGAGAGTGGCAGTGGTGGGGTAGGGTGGGGACAGCCATGCTCACAAGAGGGACAGAGGAAGTCGGGCCCGAAGAGGAGCCCCTGAGGGGCCGAGAGGTGGAGGAACATCTCAAGAAGGCAGCGGCCAACCCCGACAGGCCTGAGGGAGGCCATGGGTAGCAAGCGCCACGGGCACGTGCAGTGGGCAGGCACCACCCTCGGGGGTGGGGTTGTTCCAGACACCCTCTAGGGCGGGTCCTGCCTGTGACCCCGCTCTAGGGATGAGGAGGCTGGGGCCGGGGAGCTTCCTGCCGTGCCCACGCTCACAGGCGGCCAGTGGCAAAGCTGGAACTTGAAGCCAGCTCTGTGCAGTTCCAGTGTCTCAAGCACAGGGGCTAAAAGTGGCTGCTGGTGTGGTCTTTGCAGAGGGGCTGCCCAGGAGTGATTGCGCGAGCCAGGGAGAGCAGCCCGGAAGGAGAGGAGGAGGGAGTGCAGAGAGGAGCTGGTTCTGAGCCACCCTAGAGCCACATTCACGTCCCGCCTCTTCAAGGTGCATGGCCCAGGGCCTGCCCCAGGAGTGTCTGTCCTGAGTCAGAGCCCTCGGGCCCCGGCCCGGGCTCTGCCACCAGTTCTCACTGGCCTCCACTCCCTCCTCCAGGAAATCGTCCAGAAAGGGCATGCAGTCACAGAGGAGACCTTCAGTTACCTGCTCATGGGCTGCATCCAGGACAAGAAGACAGGTTTCCGATACGCCCTGCAGGTCTGTCCCTCCCAGCTCTGCTTTTCTGCCTCTCCTGCTGTCCCCCTTCTCCTGTGCACCTGTATCGGGTGCAAATGATGATCACGTGTGCATTTGAGGACCTGCAACTGCCCCATGCTGGGTGGTGTTATGTTTGCAATATTTTGGTCTTTGCAAAGCATGCTGCTCCCCGTCGTTTTACAGATGGCAGGGGGGAGGCCCGAGGAGGCCACATGGCTGCCCCCCAAGTGAGGGCACAGCCAGCCCATGCTCTTTCACTTGCCAAGTGGCCTTCTGGGCAGCTAGCTCATATTGGCGAAGCTTACAGTCTTGCCCAGAGTGCTTGTTCAGCCCACCTCCCACAGGCCCCCACTCAGCATTTCTTCATGTAGTCCTGAGAGAGTCTCACGGACATCAGGGTTGAGATACACCGCTCTGATTCTACCTTAGATCTCCAGAGAGAACCTCCCCCACCCCCAGTCCAGTGGTAGCAATGGTACCACAGGTGGGAAGGACTCAGATCTCACCTAGAGCCCTCCAGCTTATGCTGGGGCCCACAGACCCGCAGCATCAGCCTCACCCGGGAGCTTGTCAGAAAAGCAGGGTCTCAGCCCCACCATGGGCTTACTGTGTCCAGATCGGCATTTCAGCAAGATCCCCAGGTGGCTGATCCATGTGGAGGCTGAGCCCCAGGGACCTGGGACAGCCCTGGACCAGATGCTTGCCTTCCCTCTGAAAGGAGTAGCTTTCTAGTGAATATCAGCGAAGATCTAGTTCTCCCTTTCTTTGTTCTGGATCTGTTCTAGTTAGAAACAGTCTGTAGTGCTAATGGCCGGTTTGTGTTGTGCATTTATTAAACTGCTCAAGCTAGGTACCATCAGCCCTGTTTTACAGATAAGGAAAGTGAGTCTCACAGAGGTTAAGTAACTGGCCTGAGGTCTCACAGCTATGAAGCAGAGCTGGGATTTGAACCGAGGTCCGTCCAACTCCTAGAGCCTGAATCTCTGCTAAACCTCAGTTCTGTCAGTGTTTCCCCATGGAGGTGCCTGCTGAGACCCTTGCCCTCCTTAAGACCCTCTCAGGTGTGCAGTGGACCTCTTGCAGGCTGTCCCAACCTGGGCCTGAACGGTCCCTGCCTTGTCTGCACACTTATCCCTGATGAGGACAGGAAGTCGGATGTGAGCTCTCCTCCCACTGAATGTGGCCGTCCTTTGAGCCCGCAGACAAAGAATCCAATGTGACCAGTGAGCCCTGTGTGGCATCTTAGAAACGGTGTGGTCTGGGTGTCAGAGTGACCCAGACGTGACCAGAGTGGTCCTTTGTGGAGAACACACTGAGTGTGCTAGGCGCTGTGCTGTGGGATGAAAATGATCTCATCTCAAGGGAAACAGGGCTGCCTGGGCCCCCAGCTTGGGAGGTGCTCTTCCTGGCTGAGCCCCCTTCCACTGTGCCCGCCCTGTGCTCTCATACTTCCTGGAGGCTGCGTGGGACAGGGCACACAGTGGGCACTCAGGAAGTGCTGCTAAATCCAGTTCTTAAGTCAGCCTAGACTCTTCCAGAACCTAGCCTCTGTGATCGTCCCTCCCCAGAGAAGTACAGAGAAGGTGGGCAGGGACCCAGGGCAAAGTCTGTTCCCAGTACAGGGGCCCTGGGAGGAGGCAGAGAGATGAAAGTGGAAGAACAGTTTTGGGGTGAGCTAGGGAGAGGAAAGGAGTAGCGCCCCCATGAAGTCTCCCAGAGAGTCCTCAGATTCTTAGGATTCTTAGTTGTCTAGAGCCTGGCATCGGGTTAGATGCTCTCCAGCTCTTTCCTGGCCCCTTGCACTTGCTGAATGGTTGTCGACTACTCGCGTCTGCTCGCTGACGGCTCTTCTGAGAAGGAGCACGGAGCTAAGCTTGTCTCTCCCAGCAGGTGTGGAGGCAGATGCTGAGTCTGGGGCTCCAGCCGAGCCAGCATGGCTACAACCTACTCCTGGGGGCAGCTCGAGACTGCGGCTTGGGGGACCCAGAGGTAGCCTCAGCACTGCTCCTGAGGCCCAGGGAGGAGACGGTCATGCTCCAGCCTCTGGCACGTGGGTTTCGGGCAAAGAGGAGAGCCCGGGCCTGGCTGGGTGACGGCATGTCAGTCAGGCTGCATGTGGAGGCCCTGGAGAGACAGCTGTTTCTGGAACCTTCTCAGGTGCTTGAGGGCCTTCCAGAGCCTTGCGAAGCCAGAGCCCCCAGCAAGGCCCAGCCTGAGGTGGAAACTAAGAAGGAGCCCGAACGCATGGTGGCCCTCACTTCCTTGGCCCCAGAACCTTCTTGCTGGGGGCTGGAGGCCAACCTCCTGACCTTGGGAGCAGTTCCCCCAGCTGTGGTCTCCTTTGGGACTGTGACCACCCCAGCTGACAGGCTGGCCTTGATGGGGGGCCTGGAGGGCTTCTTGGGCAAGATGGCAGAACATGGGCTCCGGCCCAACATCAAAACCCTCACGCTGTTGGCTGAGGTGGTGGAGCCCGGGAGTCCCGCAGAGTCCTCACTGCTGACCGTCCTGGACACGTACCAGGTGGAAGCTGATGTGACGTTCTTCAACACACTGATGAGGAAGAAGAGCAAGCTTGGCGATCTGGAGGGGGCGAAGGTGAGGGGCTCGGAGGCGGGCACGAGGTTCAAGGCTGGGGCCCCTCCTTCCCGTTCCCTCCTCTCCGTTCCCTCCTCTGACCTTCTGACAGCAGGACCTGGCTCCCCTGCAGGGGGCGTCACTTGTTCCCGAGGTAGGTGGGCAGACTGACTAGAGCCTCCGTTCTGGGCCTGGGCTTGGGCCAAGCTGAGAATGGAGGGGTGAACCGGCCGGCTGCACTGCCCGTCCCCATTGAGGAGCTCACGGGTGTAGGCAGACGTCCTCGCGCTGCCCGAGGGGCACGTGGCCTAAGAGCCTGGTGGCCCCTGAGTGTCCCCACCCTTCGGCCACACCCCCCGACCCCCACACACTGATCCAGCCGTCTGTGTTAGATGCCGTTGGAAGAGCTCCCCATCCGTTTCTCTCTTCGCTGACCACACCACAAGGCTTTGCCAGTATGAGGCTTCCCCCATTGCACAGATGGGGACACCGGAGCCCTCGTGCGATTTTGTCCACGTGTCTGCGTGACAGAGCACTGACCTGGGCTCTCGTGGGCATCAAAGGTGACAGGGATGCAGCCTCTGCCTTCAGGCCCTGAGTGCGGAGCACGCCGCCCTCTAGACAAGCTGAACAGGGTAGAGCCCCTCCCTGAGCCGGCCAGGCTGCGAGGGCGTCCTCTTTCTCAGCCGCCGGCCCCCCGCAGCCTCAGCTGCACTTCCCACACTGTTGTCGTCCTGCCCTGGACTGTGGGGCCAGGGCCTCGGAGACCTCTGGTGCTCACCTGACGTCGAAGGCCCGAGTGCTGGGATGGACGGCCAGCAGAGGAGCGGAGAGGCACGGGACTGCGCAGGGCTTCGGGGAGGGGGGCAGGGCGTGGTGGAGACGGGCTAGAAGGCCGGGGGTCCTCGCAGAGCCGCCGAACGCCGGGGAGCTGGGTGCTTGCAAGCCGGGCTGAGACCCACACCCAGTGTGGTCACGGAGGGAGCAGGAAGGCCTCTGAGCAGAGCTGTGCCCCTGAGGTCTCCAGCCAGCCATGGGCTTCAGCTGAGAAGGCTCCTGCCACGCTTGGTGGGTCACAGCTTACAGTAGTGCCGTCCCCGTCCCCACAGGCGCTGCTGCCACTCCTGGCAGAGAGGGGCCTTACCCCCAACCTGCAGACCTTCTGCAGCCTGGCCACCGGGTGCCACAGGCCAACAGATGGTCTGCAGCTGCTTGCGGACATGAAGGTGAGTGGGTCCAGGCCGGGGGAGGGGGGGTGACCCATGGTGCTAACTTGGGGTGCTCAGGGAGAGAGCTAGGTCCTCCTGAACCCCCAGGCCTCTGCACCCAGACAGCACAGTGTGCATGGGGGCAGGGAGAGTGCAGTCGCTCTAGCTTGAGAGAAAGGGGACCCTGGTGAGTTGCTGCAGGAACTGGCATTGAAAGCATTAGTCTTGAAGGTGGTTGCAGTGTGGAGAGATGGGGGGGGTGGGAACAGGTCTTGGCCCCAACTCTGGAGGGATGGGAGGCATGACAAGAGCAGGGATGTATCCGAATTCTGGGGGCAGGGGTTGCAGTAAACCCACAGCCAAGAGCCGAGGAGGGGGTCTCTGCGTGGTTTACTGCCTGAGGCCATTGATCTCCGAGTGAGTTCTTCAGGCCGGGGAAGGTAGGCTGGGTGGGATGGACCTACAGTGCGGGGCATGCGTGCTTTCATTTGGAGCGGGGTGTGCCGCCCGTCGTTGGCACCAGGGTCAGATCGTCTTGGCCTGGTGGCTGGTTGGCCTAATGGCCATCTGACACGCACAGTAGGCTGCTTTGTCCCAACAGCTGCCATCACCTTGCTGATCGAATGTCTGTGATGTTCCAGAAATCCCACATGACCCCCAACACCCACGTCTACAGCACCCTCATCAACGCGGCCGTCAAGAAGCTGGACTACACCTATCTCATTGACATCCTGAAGCACATGAGGTGCAGCAGCGTCCCGGTGAATGAGGTGGTCATCCGCCAGCTGGAGTTCGCAGCCCAGTACCCGCCCTCCTTTGATCGGGTGTGTGCGCCTACCTCTCACTCACCTGTCCTCTCTTTAACCATCCCACCTGCCCCGCCCCAACCCTGGGTCTGGCCTTCCACAGCTGGAATTCCCTAAACTGTCAGTAGCTTCCCGTAGGAGAAATCCCAAATTCCTTAAACCACAGCCTGTGAGTCCCTGTGGCCCACTTCATCTCTGGCCGTTCTTCCCTGGATTCAGTCAGTCCCACTGGCCTTCCGCCTCCTTCCTTTCTCGGGGTTTTTGTATTGCCTCTGCCTTGAGTAGGCTCCCCCTGTGCTTCCCATAACTGGCTTCTCACCCTGTTGGTCTCAGCTCGGACAGCTCCTTCTCAGGGATGCCCTGCTGCTCCCTCCTGCCCACCACGTCCAGCCCTGTTGCTTGTCACTGTTTCACAACCTGTGATTACACCTGCACAGGTCACTGTGACCTTCACAAAACCGAAAGGCCCGCTCACCTGGTTCCCCGGTACCTGCCCATTGCCTGGTGCCCAATACAGACTGTTGTCTGTCCAGTGAACGGGGATGGCAGCCGGGCCGCGATAGAATCTGCTTTGTAATGTCCACTTCTCTCCCTGCTGTACTGAGGATAGCAGGTTGTGGGGGTTTGGATTTAGGGCCCACGGGAGTCAGACCCCATGTTGAGTGCCTCCACAGCAGTTGTGGCCTGGAGGAGCACCATCCCAGTGGGGAGGGAGGGAGATGGGCAGGGTCACACCAGGTATGGGGTCAGGGACCGCTGTGCAGGCACAACACTTGAGGGCCATTTTGAGGGCTCAGTAAGAATCCGGGAGACAGCAGTAGAGCGTATGCCAGGCAGAGGGCAAAACTGGGCATTTATGGACAGTTGGCTGTTAGTCTTGTCTTACTGATTCTCCAGAGTTCTTTATGTGTTCTGGATACTCCTCTCTTGTCCCACGTTGCAAGTATCTTCCAGTTAGTGGATCTGTCTCTTTACTCCGTGGTGTAGAGTCCTCAAGGGATCTTCTCAGGTTCAGTCCAGATATCAGACTACCACATTCCTAGTCCCTTAGGACCGTGACTTATTTCTATCTGTGCCTGTCAAGATTTGTTTTCTGTGCTTTTAAGCTGGATTAGGTACATACAAGCTTGGAATTGTTAAATCTTTGGAAGCCAACTATGTGTCGTTACCTTCGATATAGTTTTGGCTTTTTTTCCGACGTTATTTTTTTTTTTTTTTAAAGATTTTATTTATTTATTCATGAGAGACAGAGGGAGAGAGAGAGAGGGGGAGAGAGAGAGAGAGAGAGAAGCAGAGGGAGAAGCAGGCTCCCAAGGAGCAGGGAGCCCGATGCGGGACTCGATCCCAGGACCCTGGGATCATGACCTGAGCCGAAGGCAGACGCTTAACCATCTGAGCCACCCAGGCGCCCTCCTACGTTATTTCTTTACCAGCTTTCTTTTGGCATCTGCTGGGCGCATCTTATTTCCTCCCTCTCCTCCCCCTTCTCCAGAGACACTGCAGCAGTGCTGAGAGGACACGGGGGAGGCTCTCAGGCTGTGGGGGCAGAGGTAGCACCCAGGGATTCTAGCTTGGGGGGCGGGGGGGGCCGTCCCTGAGTGTAACACAGCGGCACAGACTTCGAGGGACTGTTAGTAGATGGGAAGTTGGCCTGCCCCACAGAAGCTGTGTCTCTTGACAGTAAGCAACTTGAGTATCGAACAGTTTTCCTGCCCTCTTTCCTTAACTACCTAGAAGCAAGAACAGCTTCCCTGAGGCCTGAGCCAGCGGCCATGGTCTGGGATGAACCGTGTGTAGCATGCAGTGACTAATGGCTCCTCTGACCCCGTGCTTTTTCCACTTACAGTACAAAGAGAAAAACACCTACTTGGAGAAGATTGATGGCTTCCGAGCTTATTACAAGCAGTGGCTGAAAGTGATGCCAGCAGAGGAAACCCCCCACCCGTGGCAGAAGTTCCGGACCAAGCACCAGGGGGACCGAGACCCCATCATGGAGGCGGATGTGGACGGAGGCCTCAGAGGCAGGTGATGGGAGGCGCTGGGGGCCGCGAGCAGAGCTGGGACAAAGGGCAATGTTTACAGAGCTCTGCGGGAGCCCAGGAGCCGCTCCGCATCGGGCCTGTGCATGTGCTCGTGTGGCCTCAAGCCCGAGGAAGGGTCCAGCCCAGAGTGAGGGATGCAGCGTTTTGCAGGCATTGGTATGAGGACAAACACTGGGTCCAGGGTGCCTGACAAGTTCGTGCAGGTCCAAGAGCAGCCTGGCCCACCTTGGCACGCCATCTCTGGTCATCCTCGTCTGGGAGGTGGTTGTCCCCATCACGGATGAGGAAAGTGAACTTGCACACAGTCACACAGCATCTACAAGGTGGAGTCAGGATGGAGGCCCAAGGGTGACCGGTTTCTAGGGCCTGGTGCTCGCCCACTGGGGTCCACAGTCCGCTGGCTCTCGGAAAGAATGAATGCAGGACCCAGAAGGTTTAAAAATTTTATTCCTACAAATCACAGCTGAGAAACACCAAAGCCTTTACATGTAGAGACCGTGCTCCAACTCAGGCCGGGAGCACTGCTCTGCGAGAAGAGCTGCTCCCAGGAAAGGGGTGGTGCAACAGGCAGAAACCCATGAAGTCCCAAGTTCAGGGTGAAGACGGGTCAGGGCCTCAGGGCCTCAGGGCCTCAGCCGGAGCAGCCCCGGCAGCCGCAGTGTGTGCACTCGATGATCCGGCCCTGCAACAGAGGACAGCTGAGACGCTGTGTTCTTGCCACGCCCCCTCCCCCGGTCCCCCACAACAAGGGGAGCAACTGGACATTCACTGTCTATATAATACTCCTCAGAAAGTCTTCCGTGACAGATGCAATCAGTGCTGCTGACACTGAAGCTATACCTCTATGCACTGAATTTATGCACACTGTACATACTTGACCCCCAAAAAGGAAAAAAAAAATCTGTGAATGATTCTTGTTGTTCCATGAAGTGAGCATGACCTACCCTGCAGTAAGCTGGAAGTGGGTCTGCTACTGCTCAGGGGGCTCAGGGCCTCTGGGCTGGGGAGCGTTCTAGTGGGGGCACAGGGGCAGAGGATGTGCACCGGAATCTGAGTGGTAGCAGAAGGGTCTTGTCCCTTGGGCCAAGTGTGCTCGGATGTCCGGCTGAGGGCCTGCCCAACAGACAGAAGGCCCTAGAGCAGTGGTCTGTGTATACTTTCCTTTGTTCTCTTTTTTGGAGGAGTAAGACCCTTACCTAAATGAACAAGATCAGATGGTGAAACTCAACCAAATCAAAAACAGGCCCTACTCTGGCCACAGGGCTGGGGCAGCACCCCCGACCAATACCACCATAGAATCTGGGGGGGTGCGGCGGCTTCTGCCACTCCACCACCTCTCCATGCCATCAGAAAACCGGCACCCAGATTCTTCCCTTAAGGAAGAATTTGATGTCCTTGGGCCCTTGTTCGATGTCCACTACCCCCTGACTACAGATGATTCAGGGAGACAGAGCTGCCTGCTGAGCTAAAGCCCTTGGCCCAGAGCTCTATACACTAGAACTGGTCTGCAACATCAAGAGACCGGTGATGAGGCACCTGTGTGACAGGTGGCCCCCTGGGAGGTGGGCAGTCTGGCCTGCCCGTCCAGCTGGGCCCACCATGGTCAGCCAAGGGGTCGCACTCAAAGGTCACCATAGCCTGTGTCCCAGGAACCGCCTCCCTCCCTCTGCAGTTCCATTTCAGAGAAGCTGACGCTGTCAGCTCAGCTACTGCATGTGCAGCACCATTCCTGGGTCCTGAGCTGCCCAGTCGAGTTTTAGAACAAAGTTCTGACAGAAGAAATACAACGTAAGACAACTGAGGAGAAGGCCTGGAGAAAAGGGTACCTGGGGTGAGCATGCTCCCCTGACTCAGCACTCCCCACCACCTTGGGGGGTGGGTGTTCTCACCCCCACTTCCTATGTGGGGAAGGAATTCAATAACTTGCCCAAGGGTGCAGTTGAGTTGGCCCCCAGACCTAACACACGACTGTTGCCACACTGCCCAGCATGGACTGCTCAGGAGAGGGACTCAACTCCCTGGGGCATGGCCAGCAGGACAGTCAGCAAAATCATGTTCGATCCCTTGCAGTCAACTAGGGTGGACTTCCGAACTGAAAAAGTGACCTCAAACTCAATCATCAGACATTACAGGGGTAGAGACGTTACCACTTCCAGCTTGCTTTTGGGGACCCGGCAAATGCAGTTTGTTCCAAAATTGGTGTCCCGTGTCTGAATGCAGCGCAGGCAGCATAAGTTCTCATAGCCCTGCTTTTTCCACTTTGCTATCAGATTTTTATCTGCATAGCCTTCTTTAATACAGTATTCATATAGTTCTGTCAAAAAGAAGGGAAAGGGCATTAGACCATGGTATCACAAAGCTTCCCCAGCCCCGGCCCATCACTACTCTTCACTAGAAAGAGTATTTGGCCAACGCCGACCCCTCCCTGCCTTTTTTTTTTTTTTTACCAATAAGAAAACTCGACACTTGCTTAGGTTGCAAGAACAAGAACCATGAAGTAAACGTGAAAGCTACTCAAGTTGGTGAGGCCGAGAGAATTTCATTACCTCTGCTTATGGCTTTCCTCTTGTAAAAGAGGTCAAAAATATACCGGGTTTTTTGGTGGTGGATCCTGAAGATAGGCCACAGAGATTCCACTTTCCTCTTTCCCTCATGAGGTTCTGTTTCAGCTGGGGAGAAAAAGGAGTGTCTTTGTTTTCTTGTGGCAGGTAGTGTTCATTGCACAGGATACAATGTTTTTTTTTTTTTTTTTTAATAACCAGGGATAAAGAATAAATCCTACTTCATATCCTCTAGGTTGGCTATCATCAAAAAGACAGTCACAAGTGTTGAGGATGTAGAAAAAGTGGATCACAGGCCGCTGGTGGAAACGTAACATGGTGTAGCCTCTCTGGAGAATAGGCTCTTGACTTTAGAGATGGCTCTTCCCCAGGAAGTTAAAGTTACCATATGCCCTAGCGGTTCTCCTGCTGGGTATATAGCCCAGAGAACTGAAAACACATGTGCCCACAAAAACTCTCATATGAATGTGCAAGCAGCAGTATTCACAACAGCCAAAAACTAGAAACAATCCCGGTGTCCATCAGCTGATGAATAAACAAAACCCACCCACACCATGAAGTGTCATTCGGCCAGAAAAAGAAATGACCTGCTACAACACGGATGAACCTTGAAAACATGCCAAGTGGAAGGAACTAGTCCCCAAAGCCCCCCTACCAGATGACGGTCTAGAGAGACAGAAAGTAGATGAGTGGTTGCTCAAACTGGGAGAGCTGGGGAGAAGGGGGTAACTACCAAAGGGTGCAGGGCTTCTTCAGGAGGTAAGGGTTGCCCAACTCTGAATACACTGAACACTGTATAAGGGCAAATTTTACAGAATAGGACTTCAATCTCAGTAGAGCTGTTATTTTAAAAGATAAAAAAAATAAGCCATGTGACTTAAACAGGATTGTTTCAAGTGGCAAGTCTCTTTCTGTTAGCAGTTACAAGTTGATCTTTGTCTACCACCTCCACTCAGTTTTTAGAGCAGAGGAGAAAGATAAAGAGTGGTCAAGAGAACTGTACCTCCATTTCTCCAACTTTGGGGCCATGCTATTACTTAGCATGTAGCATTCAGCTCCACACACAGGATTCTGTAATCTGAGCAAAAGGCAGGTGTTGCGGACTGACCAAGTGCACACCGTGCCTGCTGCAGCCGAGGCCCTGCTCTGGGTGCTGAAGGCACAGCAGTGGAGCAGGCAGAGCAGCTCTGGGGCGGCATTCCTGGGGAGGGAGGTGGATCGGCATGTGGGGCTAAGTGGTAAAGGCCACAAAGAAGAAGAGAAAACAGAAGGGGAAGTGGGGACTGACATTTTATACAGGTGATCAAAGAAGGCACAAGGGGACATCTGATCGGAGTCCTCAAGAAACAAGGGAAGTGCTGGGTGAAATGGGGGAGGGGGGTCACAGGTGCAAGCTTCCAGTTATAAATAAATCCTGGGGAATGATGACTACAATTTACAATACTGTATTGTGTATTTATAAGTTGCTAAAAGAGTAGACCTTAAAAGTTCTCACAAGAAAAAGAAAAAACTGTGAGGTAATGGATCTTAAATTATTGTCAATCATTTTGTAATATATACATACATCAAATCACATGCAGCTAAAACATACAATGTTTCATGTCAGATCTCACTTAAAAAGGGGGGGGCAAACATGCTTATAAGGCATCTGGAAGCAGAGCCTCCCTCCCTGTGCTTTTGTCATTTCTCAATCTTTTAAACCAAAGCAGCACTCCCATTTTAAAAAATCCCTTTTGGACCCATTTTCACAAGACCATGTGAACATTCTTGGACGTTGTTTTATACAGGTTCACACACAAAGTGGAATGCGTCTTTCAGTGGGTGGTGTGGAGTCCTGCCACTATGAGTGTAGGAAGAGAGGCCAGAGGTACTGGCGTCACAGCATAGACTAGATCTAGATTTCTGCCACTTGGCGAATGCCAAAAACTTCAAAAGAAACCAAAACCCATTAACTTCAAAACCTCAGCAACAATTCTTTTAAAATGTTAATTCTTTAAAAAACTAAATGTCCATCATTGAAGTGTTTATGTTTGATTTTCAACTAGTTTAAAATCCTAACGAAGCAGTTATTTAGGGGTGCTGGGGTGGCTCAGTCGGTTGAGTGTCCCACTCTTGATTTCGGCTCAGGTCATGATCTCAGGGTTGTGAGATGGAGCCATGTATCGGGCTCTGTGCTGGATGTGGAACTTGCTTAAGATTCTCTCTCCCCCGCCCTGACCCCCCAGGCCACATGCTCTCTCTCAATTTTAAAAAAAGCAACCGAGTAAGGGATCATACTGTGATCCTATAAGGCCAAGAGATGCTCGTGGCTTCAGATAAGATTTCTAAAAAGACATTACACTGATTAATCAAGTTCAAGATCATATGGCATTTTGAGGGAACTGAACATGGTACATTCTGGAAAACTAGTAGATAATACAAAAACAAAGTGGTGAAAACCATGTCAAAGACCAGCAAGAAAAATCTGGG